CAGCAGCTTTCTGTTCTTGCCGCGGTCATTTGCGGCAGGTATAGACGCTTTGCAGCAGCTGTGCATGGACGCCGCCATAACTGACCTTCAGTTTTTGTTTCCTCTTATTGAATTTTCTTCACTTCATCATTACCATAGCAGGCCAGGTTATTGCCATCTTAAATTCTATTGCGTCCTTCTACCCAGCATTGGCGTTTCTGGAGGCTCGTCAAGAGCCGTTTCAGTGACTCGGTATCTCCATAAGACAAAAGAAGGTCAGCAATGGCGGCTGTAGTCTGGCGCGTGTGTAAAGCGTCTATACGCGGCGTCGCTTCTAACAGCGCACTAGTGGTCCTATTGCGGAAGCACTCGAAGCAGAGAGCAAGATAGCTAGCTACCTGCGCCACGCACGAGCTAGACATTTTTAAGTCCTTACCAAACATGCAACTTGTATACATGTATCTGCAGAGGGTATACAGTCTGTTTGCGAAGAAAATCGGTGGTTTGAACTTTTAGCGTTTGTTACGACTCGCGAGCTTTTTACGCGTGACCGCGCGATCGATGTCTGCAGTTACACACCGAGTGCCACGAAGCGCTTTGTGAGACCACCCTTCAGCTTAGTAGAATGAGGGCTTCGATGAAGCTTTTGCGTACTTTTTCAGTCGCCTCCGCGTTTGATGTCAGCAGCTTTACGCTGCTTTTTTCTTGTAACACAATGTGGCTGTCAATGGACTTTTTTTCACGCTTAGGACTTAGAGGAATGGAATTGTAGAGTTTAGCCATTCCAGGAGTGGGAATGGGCTCAGTGTCTCCATTCCGAGGAGCTGAAAAAAATGGAGCTGTCGGAAGCTCTAATTTCCCGGAATGGAATTAGAATGATAAGGGGGTGCCCATTCCGTAACACTAATGCGTACCCCGCCGCGGGGCCGCCACTAGGCCGTCGGGAGAGAAGTGAGCGATGGATGCGGTGCCGTCTACCAGTGCGGGGCGCCCTTCTGAGTCGTCGTCTTCTACGAGTGCGGATGCCGCATCTACGTCTGCTCCTGCTCGGTGACGGGGTCGGGGTCGGCCACGTAAGACTGAAGCCGAGAAGGCGGACAAGAAAAAGCTAGGCGTGCACAGGCAATGCGCCACAAGCGGGCAGAGGATTCGATGACGCTATTGCGTTCCACTCTTAAAGGCGAAGCTTAAGCGTCCTCCAACTTTTGCTCTCATTTGTTTTCTTTTTTTTACAGGAAGAGAACTGCTTCTAGAAATTTCACAGGGTAAAGCTGTCCTGCTCAGTGCAAATTCGGTGAAAGTTCGAGCTTTCTATGCACAGACGCCGATTTTTGCGGCTCTTTTTACAGCGGAAGGTCCGCTTGGGACATTTAATGTTAGGCACTGGAGCACTGCAGTCGACACTGTCTACTTCAATCCATAATTGTTCAATTTTAATTTTTTTTTATTCAACGAAGCATTGTTTCTATACACCTTTCCATGAAAGCGCATGAGGGTGCGTACATTGTTGTTTTGTGTGCTATGCACGATTGCGAGCGAGCGCTGGCTTGACTGTGATTTAGCACGTGTGGACCGCGACTTTTGCAAACAGCAGATTCCTTCAATTTACCTGCAACTTCTGCACCTGTGCAGGACGAGCAGGTAAATTGAACTAAGCTACTGGAAACGTTCATAGATGCTGACAAACTGGAAAGTTATCTCGTTAGCAAAAAATAAACACCGAAAAGTGCCAAACGCATTAGCAAAAACAAGCCGCTCGTCAAATCTAAAAAAAAAAAAAAAAAAGACTATGACGAAGAATTCGGTAGTCACTCACAAGGCGAGAACGGCAGGAAGGGGGGGGGGGGGGGGGTAAAGCCCCTTGATAAAAGCGTTTTTACAAGTACCGCCAACCATTGTTGTGGAAGCGCGCGAGACACGTGCCATGAGCGGGTACTCCGCCGCCATTCGCTTCCAAGGCCGGCTCATTTCAGTACTGCGCCGCCATTTGCTTCCAAGGGCCGCTCGAGACATGGGCCTCGTGCACTCGCGCATTTGGCGCTACTTGCACGACAAGCGCAAACACATCGAGGGGCTTTAGAGGGGGGGGGGGGGGGGGGGGGGGGCTTCGGCTCCCGCCTCCAGCGCGAGCTTTTTGCCTTCGGCAACGCTTGTGCGTTTCGTGCACCCCGAGCACGCAGCCAAAGCACGACGGAAGGCAGGGAGCGCGAGCTGCAGGCCGGGCCCTAGAAGACCATGCCCTGCCGATCTCATTGCGTCAGTGGTTACAGCTATACCCCCATCTCGCAAGCGGCGTGCATGGTTATTCAAGGCACAGGTGCGAGAGACAAAAATAGGTAAATGGAGAATTATGTTTCCATCGCATAGCAAGAGACAGGGAAGCCGGCTTTAGGACACCGGTGAGAATACATTTAAGCATTTATTGTGTCCCCCCCTTTTCCAAAAAAAAAAAAAAAGAAACAAATCCTAGAAAAGAGGTTCTTTCCCCCTGTAACCCATGGCCTCCACAACGCGGTTAACAACCGCCAGGCTGTAGTATTATAACTGAAAACTAGAATCGCATATTTACTTAGTTAAGCTCAGAACGACATTTCATAACGCTGCTATAACTTTCAGCCAAATCGAACACTCGAGTTACGGCTCAAAATTCCTGGCACCCGCGAGGGGTGTGCGTGTGTGTGCGTGCGTGTGTATATATGTATGTGTGAGTATAAAAGGGGAGGCGATTGAAATCTGTCGATAGCGTATGAAAATAAAACTATAATCCCGCGTAAATTAATCTTATTCAATTATTTAGGCTTTATCTAAAGTAAAACTTCCATTCGCAAGAAAAAATTGGGGTCGTAATGAGTAAGCCTTACTCAAATATAGAGCCTGATCACCGGGAATCAAAGGAGCGCAGAGGTGAGTCGCGGAGAAACTTGAAATAAAATAAAATAAATGAGCGGAATTGACTCTTCGCCTGAATCGATGCTGGATGTCCAAAAGAACGCAGACCTTCGATAGTGCTTAACAAACAAGAAGCCGCACACGTCACTGACCAATCGAGGACCAAATGACACACTAAGGGGGAAAAAAGTTATAAGGAGAAGGTGCAGGCAGCGCGGGAGCTTTTTTGTTTATGTTGATTCATATAGGCTAGGACGCTATATAACACCCTCCACTCGAGCCTGGCAAGTGCAACCAAAATTGATTCACCATAATCACCGTTAAATCTGAGGTCTTTCTTGAAGTTTGTATTGTTGGTATGTTGTGTTACATATGTTATGGTTATTTGAAAAAAACTAGAAAAGCTAGTTTTTTTTTATCCTAGATGATTCGACAAGATGGGAAGTTCACAAGATATAAAATTTTGAGAGCTTCAAACCAACGTTAACGTTAGTTACAAGGTCAAAGCGATTTTCTTTTTAACGAATGTCTTAAAGATTTTACGACAAACGTTTCTTTTTTTATGAATAAAAAGTTCTCCGTGTGGTAGCTATAATTATATATATATATATATATATATATATATATATATATATATATATATATATATATATATATATATATATATATATATATATATATATATATATATATATATATATATATATATATATATATTAAAAAATTACCCCACTCTGTATTACGATTTCTTCAAACTCTTACTCTACTCTTGTTTTAATTACGTTTCTTTTTTTTTTTTTGTATGAAGAAATACGATTTCTGAAAATATTCATGGTATTCCTTCACTTCAAAAAAAGGTAATTCGTATTCTATGCAAAAACATATGACAGCCACGCGGCACCGTTTTTCAATAAATTAGGAATCGTTCAAATCACACATTATTATGAATATAGACTTACCCTACCATGTAAAGCAGCATTAAACCACCCAGGAAATAGTTTTTTTTTTCTCTTTCTCCCCTTCGCTCAACAAACACCTCGTATGCCACACCGCCACCCGCCGTGCCGACGCCTGGACAGTGCCGCGCTTGAGAACAAACCACGGAAATTGGACGATAAAATACCAGCTGCCCAAAATGTTGAACTATTTTTTATCACTGAATATTAAAATCAAGAATGCTTCCAGCAAACGCATATTATCTCTACTGGTTTTGTCAGAAATCTGATTACTCATTCTTGAGAGCTTAGTTCATTTATCCTTTGAGATCTTCCTTTGCTGCTACTGTTGGGAGAAGAGAGGGAAATACACTGCCTTTTCCCCTATTCCCTCTCTTCTTGTATAAAGATAAAATAAAGGAACGAGACTTGAAATGCGGCGGCGCGGTACAGGTGGTTTTTGGGACAAACGTTTTGGCATTGCAGCTGAGCGCTGATGCCAATTCTTGCACAAGAAGAAGATTAACGCAGGGGTCACACTGTTTATACATCATACAATAGACACTCTGCAAACATTCGAATGCGAGTCATCGCGAGACCCGTGCACCGAATGCTGCATGACAATGAATTCAAGGAGAAACTTGGGCACGCGGCATTCGAACCACAGATCTCCGTGTTTGCAGGCTGTCTTTGGTATGATGTAGGAGCAGTGTGACCCTGGTTTTCGGGTCTGAGGTTAATATGACTAAAGCCCATTCCTCTTTTGAAAGTGGCGCAAGGTGCGTCGACGCAAGAAGCACGTGCAACTGCAGCCCTTGGGAAGATCATGACGGCACAGCGCAGCACTGAGCTAGATTTCAGACGGCATGGTCTTCCCAGAAGTGGCGCGCGGCACGTGTTTCTAGCATTTCCACAACAATGAATGGCGAAACTTTTCAATTATTGAGGGGCTTTTGGGTAAAACGGGGTTGCGTTCGGGCACAGGCTTTTGAGGTTTCAGCCCTCGCCCGGATTAAAAGTTGTTGCTACGTGGGCGGAGGACGTCGTCTTTACACTAGGACCGCTCGGAGACCTCGGCTCTTTGAAAGGGCGCCACTAAAGGGAAGGTAGATTTCCGAAAACTTCTCAAACATTTTACGGGGGAGACCGGACGACGTCTATTCCGTTTACAGGGGAGACGAGAAGTGATGCTCTTACCAAGAGGCCAGGCCTCCCTTCCCTGCCAGTCAGTCCCTTCGGCCCCACTGGTCCCATGGGACCCTAATAAAGATCGAGCAAGCAAACAAACGAACGAATGAAACAGCGCGACGTTGGGGTTTTGGAGCGTCTTCTTCCCAAGAACCCCATTTGTTCGCCCCACTTTCGAAGCCAACTCACCGGTAGGCCCATGGATCCCATGACTCCCCTATCTCCCTTGTCGCCCTGTGTGGAAGAAAGAGAGAGAGAGTCAGAGAGAGGAGACGGGGCGGAGGTTATACGCCTTAGTTCCCCGGTCGTTCGTTGTTCACGGGTTAGGGCCCCGAGACGGCGCAGTTGTTTCAAAGGGCCCCCTCCGAAATCCCGCGTCAGAGTCTTGTCCGTGCGAAACGACCGAGAGGTCGTCGTCGGACGGCGTTCAGAGTTGGGAGCACACCGCGGGTCTTTGGGTTTTTGTTCTTCTTCGCGGGTTTAGATGATGTTATTTATTATTATTTGTTCGGTGTTTGTAGTGTTTCGTTGCTCGAGTAACAGAATGTGTGCCAGGTTGTCTCCGACTTCGAGAATTTATAGCGGGCTTCGGAGCTTCCTGAAGCTTTTAAAACTTAAAATGGCGCTCGCTGTTATATATATATTTTTTTGCATTTTATTTGTTATTTTTATTAGTTCAATGTATGGCGAGGAGAAGGCACGAAAAAAACAATAAAACAAGAAGGTGACACAGAAACCTGCACCTTGCTCGTTAATTCCCGGTTATACGGATGGTGAGCGACGCGCTTGTTTAAAACATACGATCCCTTCCATATTTCACGCAAGGCTCCACTTAGATATTTCGACTTTTGATTCTTAGCCAGTGTAGTAGGCGTTACCGAAAAGAAAATAAATAAATGCGTCACTTGTTACTCGCAAAATAAAGAAACGGGTTGACGGACCTACGTTATATTAAACTAAAAGGAACGCGTTACCGATAAGAGAGGAACACAGGTTACTCTGGCGTTGATTCTTTTTTATTACTTGAAGGTAACAGCATTTTTGACACTGAGACGAAGGGCGTGGGCGTTGGTGTTTTTTCTAAAGTGGGACTTTTTGCGTGGGGAAGCTACGGGCGAAATTCTTAAGGTAAGTGGAACGAGTGTAATAATTAATGACTTGGCGCTTTTGTTGTCTAGGAACGCGAAAAAAATGTAAGTGTACTTCTTTTCAGATCTTGGGAAGAATTAATAAGTAAGGCGTAACATACGTTAAACGTTTTTAACGTACGTTAGCAACGTACTTTAGCAACGTTAACGGGTAACATAGGTTACCCGTTACGTAACGTAAGTACGTCGCCCGTTACTGTTTCGAAAAAGTAACGAGTACGTTACTACGTTACCGAAAAGGTAACGATAACGCCGTTACTTGTAACGCGTTACCGCCAACAATGTGTCTCGTCAGCCATTTTGGACTTCAGCAGCTTTGTTTGTTTGTGTGCGTGGGTGTGTGTGTGGCTGTGGGGGAACGTTTTACCATTGTTTTGAAAGCCGTTCAATAGCGGTATCATTGACCCCACAATATAAAACATGACTGAATTTTTTTTAATAAATAGTGAGGAGATAATTGGGTTCAGAATATTGTGAGTGGATCGAGTGTTCATCACTCTAAAGAAAGCACTTGTGTCCGCTTTCCCGCACAACACTCGAAGAGCCAATCACCGCAACTTACAAAGGCAGCTCAGCGAATGACGATGCCGAAACATATGTTTAGACCAAAAAACGCAGTCTGAGTTGTGACATTAAGCAATGCAAGCGTGACGTTTTGCATTGCTAACTCAGACTGCGTTTTTTGGTATAAACATATGTTTCGGCATCGTCATTCACTGAGCTGCCTTTGTAAGTTGCGGTGATTGGCTCTCCGAGTGTTGTGCGGGAAAGCAGACGCACGGGCTTTTTTTAGAGTGTAGTGACATCAATGATGTCCCCCTTTACGTCCATTATAGTCGTTAACGAGTAAACAATGGGGCGTTAAACGCTCCTCAAAGGAATTCATATCTGCAAAAAAACCGAGTCCACTCGTTTTCTTGCAGTCACGGCTTTATCGGCGAACGCTTTTCAATATGGCAGCACGTCTCGCATCGGGACTACCGAGAGCGCCACCTTCTTGAGTGCTTTTCCTGTTCTTTACCAGCCCGGAGTTACGTCGCAGTCGGGTCGGTATCCGCTTTTGTTTGGGGTAGCTTCTGCGTCACGGCATGAAAATCCAGCGATCGAACTGCCATAGAATTATTCGTTTGGCGCCCTTACACGTGTGCCAGCGATAGACTTGAAGCTCTCGAGTTTTGAGGGGCAGCCCTTGCGAGCAAAATCAGATATTTTTAGGTCACATTTTAGTTGTGCGTCGCGTTGCGTCCTTTCAAATCTTTCTGTAAGTGCTCGTGGGCAGACGCCTAAGGACGCTGAGAGACGCTAGTTTACGTTCGTGGATCCTGCATGATGGGACGCTAGGACGCCGCTTCACGCCAGCATTAAATGGCCACGTCTCGCCCCTTTTGCAGTTGCGTCTCGTGTACTCATCTATAGTGCCCTATGGCCGGGAGAAACAGGCCTATTTGGCTTAGCAACCGCCGTAACACTTCGCCAGTCACCGTCTGCCTTTTTTTATATTGTTTTCTTGTAGTTTGTGCATCAAGTTACACCGCAAAATTGCACGGTGGTTTCTTGGGGCGACGTGAAAATGACGCAGCCTTCACCATCGACGCGTTCCCCGCCACATGCCTGTTTTACGGCCTGTACACTGACGTTGGAAGGTCAGCATAAATCGAATTCTTAACATGTCGCGCTAGGATTCACTTCAGAGGTGACCGAAGGTAGTGGAAGCTTTCACTAGAATTCAGGAAGGATTGGCTCACCTAAATAAATTACACACAAAAAAAAAAAAAAAAAACCACAATGCTTTCCCTATACTTTGTTTGTACACTTATATAATATTTTGTGTCACTGTGGCGCTTATTTTGGCCAAATAAAAGAAAAAATAGGTATGGTGATTTTTTCATAACGTATTGTTTTTTGTTGTAATAAACGCCAGAATAGGACAAAACGATTTTTTGACGATTTTAAGAAAAAAAAAAAAAAAAAGAAAAGGCTTAGCGATAATTATTTCATATAATAGACCAGCTTTTTTCTTTTTTTTCTTTTCTTTTGTCTCCAGAAGTTTCATGTATTCGAACTCACAATTAAAGAACGCCCCAGCTTCGGGCACCTCTGTAGTAAAAACCAGCGCGATGAGTTGAGAACCCCATTTTTCGCGGACCGTCCAAATTGGGATCGAAGCGCCATCTCAGCTGACTCTGAACGACGACTTCAAAGCTGCGATTCACCCGCGGAAATTGGCACCCATGCCAAGTCTCATCGTCGCAATCAGTCACATAATGAGCAGTGATCTAAAAGAGCACTACGCTAAATCGACATCGCCCCACGAAAGTATCATTGGGCGAAGTCAGTCTTTTCCACCGACACCTTCGAGACGGTGTAGTGGCAAATGTGGCGCGTGCTTTGCGAGGCCTTCGAAGCGGATGCCGCTGTGGGGCGCTAGCGTAGTTTCCCCGAGCAGTAGCGCTGGCAAGATGGGGAGTCGGCTGCTTGCTCCCGGCCCTATCTAGAGATGTTTTTACGACAGCGCACCATTTTACACACCATTTTATCAGCTCTGCGGTGTCTGACTGAACGAAAGAGTTTTTCACATGCTTGGGAGGTGCCATGAAGTGGCGATGTGTTCCTTTGTGTTCAGCACGACACAAGTGGCAAGCTTGAAACACTCCATCCCTCTGCGGCTACAACAAAAATAAGCTATAGGGGAATGCTCAGTCAGCTCAGTCTCCACTCGAATGTAGCTATAAAGATTCGGATAAGGTACTAAGATTAAAAAACATCCAAAAATTGTCTATGAAAAAGAAAAAAAAAATGGGCCCGCTTCTTGAAGCAGACGCTATTCACGCTCATTCATTAATTCGGATCCCAACGGCTAGCTTTCCATTCCGACGTAGATTGTGGGTTTGGTGATGAGTAGTTTATTATCGCAACGAGAGAAACACGGTTGGTATTTGTTTTCAGCTTACTTCCGCCCGATAAACGAAAACTACTGAACCACCAAAATTATTTTAATGTCCTGTTCTTTACTGGCGAACTTGTTTGCACGTTGGGGAAAAAAATTCAAGCTATGGCTGGTTTTCTCAGCTGCTCACTGTTCATATATGCTAAAGATGCTTAACGAATGTGTTCTTAAATGCTTGGTATTTGACTGGTAACTCACAATGAAAACACTTCCTTCGTTGTTTTGCCACAGCAAGACCACAACGAACTCTATTACATGCTTTGATATGATTGTATAACAACAAGGTAGGTAATAACAATCAACATAATTTAAATTATGATTTAAATCATATTTTAAATAGGATCGATTTTGTTATAAGGATTTAAGTCGCACTGATTTGGCTATATTGAAATCAATCAAACACTTTTCCCCAAAACAATACTGAAAACATTTTTTTTATTTGTCGTGTGCCTATCAGTGTGCTTCCCATGGGTATTTATTTTGTAATTGAAGTAAAGAATGATCGCGCAGTAAATATTTATATCAGACAGTCATTAAAAATGTATGTAGTGATATAAAAGTCACTAATATATAACGTAAGTTTGATTCAAATAAAAAAAACAATTAATTTGATTAAAAAATATCCTGATTTTTTTCAGTACATTTATTTCAACTTAGAAATGAATGCTGCTAAGAACACGACCAAATAAATGAGGAGAAAAAGTTCCGACAATTTCAATTTCCAACAACTCAAGAAAATGGCTCAATTCTACATGAAGATGATATTGAGCCACGCATGCACCCTTAAAAAAATTAGCTTGAAAAGATGTACACTCGGAGCGGCATCCCATTTTATGCACCCTATAAAACCGAACGAAGTGAAAAAAAACGTTACGTCAGGCGAACACCATAGCAATACACAAAAAGCACACACACACAAATAAAGTTGTTCGCATGGAAGCATTTAGGGAACTAACATAATTGATTGCACAGCACAAAAAGGCATAATACAATTACAAAGGTAGAATTTCCTGAAGGCACTGAAAGTAACATATACTTCTGATGGCAAAACTGGGCGAAAAAGCTACGCGAATCGACTGATCGAGCTCCAGGTATTTTGCCGCTTCATGCTTTTCTACTCTGGCACGATTGAGTCAGTTAACAAAAAAATCCAGGGTAGCGGCAACATAAAATGCCATCACCTCAGCTTTTAATGCTTGGGAGTGATTAGCACATCCAACCTTTTGGACAAGCGGCGTCCTCCAAGAGCACTCGATGGCTGCTAACGCGAGAGGAAGCAACCGATGCAGCCGTTTCCCCCTCCAGTTGTCACCGCAACTCCACAAGCGGCCATTCGCTTTTTTTTTTTTTTTGGGGGCACTGCGCCTCCCATTGACGGTGGTCTTGCTTTTGCCACTACTCCCCCTTCTAGAGCACTGTAACAGTGTGCCAGATCATGTTGAGGTAGAAAATTTTCTGATGGCCCGTTCGATTAGTAGCGATCTTCGCTTCCTCCGTTCCCACCTGAAGTCGACGCCACGAAGCAGACGACGCGCGGCGGCTTTTCTGCGGAACTATTTTCTCGACAGGCCATGGACTACAAGCGGGGGTAGAACGCATGTATGCTGAGCTTCTTTTGAATTCTTAACTTGAATAACTTTATGAATTCTTAACCTAACCCTGATAACTGTGTAATCCATAAAAAGAATAGTTTATGGCTTTGACATCTATATCTTGAAGACAGACAGAACCAACGTTGGCCAGCGGTACGAACATCTTTAAATGAAATAGACAAGAGTTCTCTAAAGAAATAACGTGTTTTCATGGTATACCTTAACGACGATGCCGGTGGACTATAAGCTTTTTCGTGACACCACGCAAGGCAAATATTTAATGTATTTGCGAAGGCGTGTTACATTTTATCTGTTCAAACTGTCACCATGGGCCTGCACTTGCTACAAAGTCGGCCTCATCAAAGTGGTGACGACGCACAGTCTGTCCATCACAACCTTTCTGACTGTTACAAAGGGCCATAACGGTGAGCGTAGGACGGGGTCTTCATCAAGAGTGGTTCCCAAAGAACAACCTTTGAGGAATAAAAATAAACATTCTTAAGACGTTATCTAGGACTCAATTTACGTAAAGATTTGCTCGGAACAGACTTTTCGGGGAGCAGAAAGTTTCGGAAGGAGTGCGAGAGGCTGTAAGAACAAGAAAGAACGAGATAGAGAAAGGGGTCAAGTACCCTCACCGGTTCGCCTTTTTGTCCGTCAATCCCTTTGCCCCCCTTGATGCCAGGGGGTCCGGGCACTCCGGGCAGGCCCTGTCGGCAGTTTAGAAAAGAAAGACCTTCAGAAAAAAGGACCAGCAGGATTCGCCCACAGCTAGTTCGACAACAGAGAAAACAGTCGTGTACACAGATGCCGCGACACTGTTAGAGCGAACAAGCCATCGCTGGTTTTCTCCGTTTTTCTCTCAGTACTGCAGGACTGTCATCAAAACTACTATAGGGGTGGGAAGTGGTCAGTTGGAGTACAACAAACCTAAGTGGTAATTTTTTTTTATTCACGCCATTAGCCTTTTGAACTAAAATGAGCAAACGCGCCAGAGTCATGTTCTCGCTGACACTATCGCGCAGTGTATATCGGGAATATCTACAGGGTGATTTAAGGAGACGGCAGGCTCTTTAAATCGACCGGAAAATTCTGTTTCCTAACCTATCGCGGTACGACTTTGTGCAGCGTTGCCCACACGGGGTGCATTTTTTTTTTTGTGAAATTTGCGAAGAGCGAACTTACCTGAGGAAAAAGTAAAGAAAGAAAAAGGCTTAGCTCCTATGGAAACGCAGCGACGCCACCGGTCTTCGAACAGCACGGCGCCGTTTCGCACGGGAGACAAGAGATGGCGCAAGCGGTCGCGACGCCAACTGCGGCAAATGAACGAGTAGACGACGCCGAGAGCCAGCCCTTTGGCAGACAAGGAACTGCAGTTTCTTGTTGTTACTATGGTGCCTGGAGCGCGTCTTCGACTAGTGTGTTTAGCGTCCTATCCCGCCCATACATCAAAAGTGGTCCCGATGTGGCAACAAATGACGCGAGTGTCATGCTGTTGCCTGTCGCGATCCTGACGGTTGGCCGTAGAAATGTTGGCAAAAGCACGAGCGAACGTGAGTGTCGCTGTCGTCACGGCGTCCCGTTAGGCATCCCAACTTCCGTGAACTGTCACAGTGGAAAGCGACCTGCAGCAGAACAGGCATCTGCCACATACACCACACACACGACACACTTATCCGACCTAAATTAGAATATGCTGCCTCCATCTGGAACCCCCATCAAGGCTACCTTATCAATCATCTGGAAGCAATTCAAAACAGGGCTACTCGTTTCATCCTCTCCACGTACGATAACTCCATCAGTGTCTCTTCCCTAAAAAGTCAACTCAACCTTTCTTCTTTGCAGCTTCGTAGGAACATCTCTCAGCTCTGCCTCCTTCACAAAATTTATTATGACTGTCTTGAACTTAAAACAGCATTATTATCACCTCCCGATCGAACATCATCTCGCCTCAACAATGACTGTACCATCAAAAGGATCTCTGGCTCAACAAACGCTTTCAACCGATCTTTTCTCCCACAAGCTATCAAAGACTGGAACAGCCTCCCATCCTCCATCGTCACCATCGTAGAACCAAACGCCTTTAAATCAAGTCTTCAATCGCACTTTTTATGTTGTTAACTGTTTACCAACCTTTTCCTGAATGTATTATTTTTTGTCTGTTTTTTCAATGTATAATATGAATGATCCCCCCCTTATGTAATGCCCTCACGGGCCCTTAAGGTTCAATAAATGAAATAAATGAACTGTTGAGACACCACCAGGGTCGCGACCGGCGACAGCATGACACTTCTATGACGTCATCAGGCGGAAATCGAGGGACCACTTTTTTGGCCGCGGTAAACACACCAGTCAAAGACGCGATCCAGGCACCATATTGTTACCGCGCCTGTCTTTTTCGTTTCTGCGACTGTCGCCGCCTGCGGAACGCGCGCCGCTTTTGAGTCGAAAAGATTGTCTGCTAAAAAGGCCCGCTCTCGGCGCCGTTTGCTCGTTCGTTGGCGGCGTTTGTTGCGCCGTCTCTTGTGTCCCGTGCGAAACGGCGCCGTGTCGTTTGAAGACCGGTGGCGTCGCTGCGTTTTCATAGGAGCTAAGCTTTTTTTTTTTCTTCACTTTTTCCTCAGGTAAGTTCGCTCTTTGCAAATTTTACAAAAAAAAAAAAAAAATGCACCATCTGTGGGCAACGCTGCACAAAGTCGTAGCGCGATAGGTTAAGAAACCGAATTTTCCGGTGGATTTAAAAAGCCTGCCGTCTCCTTGAATCACCCGGTATTTCTACAGCTCTTGTCTGCCTGCTGCTCTCTCATGAAAGCTTTAACAATAATTTCGCTTTATTTGACCTCGAATGGTTGAGTATCCAAGTCACTGGCTCCAGACATTTTCAGAAATCCGGCCCTTGTTTTTCTTTATGTGACTTCTTCACGTACTAATTACTTTTAGAGAAAAAATAAATAAATAAACAACACCGCGTCGCGTCAATGGAAACTGACAGCATGTAGTATGTCTGCTGATGACGTTCTCATGCATCATTGCCAAGGCAGCAGAAGTTCACGAGCAAAGAAAATAAACAATGAATGAATGAATTATACATCAAGAGTATTTAGGTAATATAAAACATATGTATGTGCAGACGTGGAGAGCTTAGCTTCGAAATCTGCTTCACACATTAAGTGCGCATCCCATAACCACGACCCGAGACAACACAGTGTGGTCGGTTTATGCTTTGCATGACCAAAACGAGCATATCTACAGGACCGGTTTTAGTACTGCAAGGGAACGCTAGTGGTTAAAAAAGCAACTGACCCTATTGAACGTAGAATAAAAGAAAACGTATATTTTTGTAAGTTGATAAATGTTCAAAATGAGAAAACGCTGAAGGGTTCCGAATATCCGATTGTCGTTCTCGAGGAATTAATTTTCTAGCGGTATGATTAAACTTCTTCCGACGCATTTGATTTGTGCTCGAGATAGCCCGACTCTCCACAAATCCGAGATGCACTGTGCACATATACATACACACACACGTCGCCGATTGCCGATTCAATACCTTTATAATGCAACCTGAAAAAACCAGGCCTCAACCCCCCCCCCCCCCCCCCTCCAAAAAAAAAAAAAAAATGCACGTATTATTGACGGGTATGCGCCCATCAATAAAATCAATTGCTCGATGTGTTTTCAAATTACTGCCAGCGATGCGAAGCAAGTACTAATCGTCATCACCAGAGTAAAAAGCACTCAGCTCGGAAGAATGAAATAGAGCGACGAAACGGAAACGTCCCTTCAGATTTCGAGTGTGCGTTCGCATTTTCCCGGCGGTGCATTATCGAAAACGCCGGCGGGTCGATTGCCAAGGGCTCGCGGGGCTTGCCTCACAAAGCATCGCCGAATATCGCCCTTTCTTTCTTCGCTTTAGGTTAGGCAGTTTTCTTTTTGTGTTGTTTTGGCCAGTGTTCCTTCTTCTGGCCGATGCCCGCGACCGCATTTAACGACCACAGACCTTCGAACCATTGCACGTAAAATGACTTCCGTCGTGATTGCTTTTAAGGAAATCGATACTAATCACCTCGTTTCTTTCTTTTTTAAATAGACACCCGACCAAAATGAGCGAGCTAGCCAAGAAAAAAAGAAAAAGAAAGCAATGAATAAAAAAAAAACAAAAAAAACTTGCGTTCACTCACCGGTATGCCTGGGGGTCCCGGCGGTCCGATGACCTGCGAAAGATTACCGAGTTATGTCAATATTCGGGGGCACTCCACGCGCCCTCACATGGCTGGCGGTCTAGGAAGACGGAAGAGTTGTTGCCCCGATCGACAGGAAAGCACGAAAACAATACTGCCCATGTGTAGGAGGAAAGAGCGGCCGGACCTCACGCTGTGGTCATTCGCAGCTCAAGAAACGCGCAGCGTGAAGAGACGCGAGTCTGTGTTTTGGTAAAGCGCTCCGCGGCCGACGAGGTTGCAGCTTTAGGTACGCGTTAAGAACGCAGAAACACGAAGCAAGAAGAAGGAAGAACGCAACGACCCACGCCATGCGTTTCTGGAGCTGTGAGTGACAAGAGTAACACCCGGTTCGTACATCTGCGTCGGCCACCCTTTCAGTAACGGAGGCCATCGTTGGAACAACCATGCGCCGTACACCGCGAGGCAACCGATCCAAAGAATAGCCGAGAGAAACAATCACGGGCCAAAAAGAGCCAAGCCCATACCAGAATCTTTGCCCGCACTCTTTCTTGTCTGGGATTAGTCGGTCGCAAGCAGTCTTGAACACGTTACTCGAAGAAAAAAACGTATTAATCGATTGACATTACAATTACTTTTGCTTAAAGAGTTTTCAGTTAGACTACTTGATTACTAGAGACGAGAAGTAATTGGTCGTTACTAGAAAAAGGTAACCGTTACCTCTCGGATTACTGCAGAATTTTAAGACGACAGTTTTCTGCTGGTTCGAAAATGGGTTTTTTCGTACTACCCATTATTGATTTATAATCACCGAATGACGAACTACTTATCTTCTCGATCCAACAATTAATTTTGTAAACCAAACTCCTCTCGGAAATTCGCTTTGAATATTCTGTGGTAGGAAACTTGTACGAACAAAGAGCGATATTAGAAACGGGAGGGGGAAACAAAAAGTAACGGTTACGAGCAAAGTTAGTACTTCCAAGATTAATCAAATTACCGTCGCGATTACTTCCTAATAAATGTAATCAAATGATTACAAGATTAAAACAAGTAATTGATTACAAGTAATTTGATTACTTGTAACGAATACCGTTCGAGTCTGGTCGCGAGCCACTCGACATAAATTCGCTGGATCCTAGGAATGTAGCGTCATTCCATTCCCTACTTGCTAGCAGGACACAAACAGATACGAATATACAGACGATCGAAACCTCGCAAGATGATTGGCTGATCGGTATCTCTTGCAACGGCAATCGCCAGCGCGGTCCCTCCAAATCTTCAAATCTTAAAAAAAAAAAAAAAAAAGTTTTGAATCAGCCGCGCCAATATCTTTGCCACTGTGTATGCAATCAACTTAACAATCATGATGATATCCACACATCTTTTACAACGTTATTGTTCTTCCTCCGTATTTCAAGACAGGAAAGATATTTTTAAAATCGCGAAGCACTAATGTCGCAAGTGAGATGCGCGCTTGTTTCGCCGGCGTGTGGATAAAAAAATCTCGGTATACAAAAAAATCTCTTTTAAAGAAATCTTTCAGCCTGTATATGGATCGGCTCATCAAGAATACAGAGGGCAAAAAGAAACTACCCATTCCGCGGACCAAAATGGCTACCTTACCGGGAACCTTGGCGCTACTTCCCAGAGACTTCAACTGATTGCAATGATTGTTGCGTGGGCGCCAAAGGCTACCTTCCTTCGTCTCTACCCGTTGTCTCTCTCCAATCAGAGTGAATAACAGCATCGCCTACTCTTGGCGCGGTGTTTCGCGTTTGAACGCAGAACGCCGGCGTTCGAACGCGTTCGAAGGGTGAGTAGAAAAAGGCACCTTCGAGACTACCCAATGAGAGCTCGGAACTACGACGTCCCCGTGTACTTTCGCCTCCTCGAATCGAGGGCTGCAGTTTCCGGGATCTATTTTATGCTAGCTACCATCGTTAAATTGAACCTTGAAATTATCTGCATATAGCTTACGAATTCTTCCCGGAAAAGATTGCGAATAATGCAAAGCTTAAATGAGGTAACTGATTGTTTTCTACTATGTTTTATGTGCACGATGAACGCTGAGCCACGGCCGATTTACTTGAGCGCGACTGTAAGCACACGGATTTCCAATCATTTTGTTTTTTGAAAGGAACCCGGCGGGGCCGATATAATGTGATCTTTTCCGAGACGCCAAGTACTCACATCATTCATTTAAGTCAAACCATCCTTGGTTTGAATACCGCGTGCCAAGTTTTTTACTTGAACTCATTGTCACGCGGCATTCGAAGTACAAATCTCGTGGTGACTTGCGTTCGAAGCCGTATGCAGACTGTCTTTTGTATAACGTGTAAGCAGTGTGACCCCGGTTTTAAGGCCAGTTCACACATACAGTGCACCGCTAAATAGACCGATCTCACCAAGCGTTCGGCGCATGCGTGACGCCGCCATAACTTTAGTTCGCAGGAGGCAGGCAGTAGTGCACAAGACGGCTCGTGCCTTCTCATGCTCCGCACGCGCAGAGCTCCTGGGAGGTTGTCGCTTGTGCAGAAAGACTAAAGCTCCCTCGATGCACTGCGGCAGCGGTGGCGTAGTCAAACTGGATGGTGTAGAGTGCCTTCATACACACGCGCGCTTTTGCTTGAGTGGTGACATCTCAGCCATTTTTCCGCCCAATCGTTTTTTTATGTATTTTGAAGTGCACGCAATACGGTGTCACTCAGCTCGAGCGCGTAGCTTTGGCTAATGCATAGACGCCATTTTACAGCCCAAGTCTAGCACCGAGTGCGCGAGAGCGTCACGCGCTGTCACATTCAGGTCAACAATGAATGTCTTCACCCTGAGACAGACAGACATGCAGGCACCCTAGGCTGGTGAGATCGGTCTATTAACACAGCGCTGATGCAGCGATGACTCGAATGGAAATCTGCACTCATGCAGCGCCCTATTAGCGCTGTTTCACAAACATAGCACAAAGTCAGCGCTGCGTCAGCAAGGTCACTGTTATTTCCAGCACTGACCAGCAGCTCTGAGGTAGCCCTGGGGTGTACCTGGGGGGCTATGTTGCGCTTTTTGCCCTCCCAGGAGACTAGGGAGAGGGAAGTGACGTCAACAACGCAGCAAATGCAGATTGGATGTTGATTTTGTTTTCTTCTGTCAACATCCAATCTGCATTTGCTCTAGTCGTTGACGTCACTTCCCTCTTCCAAGTCTCCTGGGAGTGCAAAAAGCGCAACATAGCACCCCTGAACAGGCTATTAGGGTAAGGACGGTATGGAATCGGTTCGTTGTTATATGCATGCCCTCCTCCGTCGCCGAAGTCTGTTCCGAAATTACATGACGTTTTTTTGTTTTTTTTTATTATAAGACAGAAACATCACAGGGGAAGACGACATGTAGAAGAAGGAGACACGACAAGCGTTCACTATAGTTACTGACGATTCATTTAAATGTTTTTCTCCCTTAGTCTTTGTTCTTAACATCTTTGACTTCATGGTCTTTCTTCCGTCTGCATAAAGCTGCCAGTTGCCAGTTCGCGCATGTCCTATCCCCTTCTTCTACTCGTCTTTGTTCTTTGCGCGATTTCTAGTCTACATAGTGTGGCGGCAAAGCGACCTCAGCAGCAACGTGTCGGACTGCAAGCACTATGCAGAGGCTTTTTGTAGCCCCAAACTAACGTCGGTGTCTACTCGTGCCTCGGATGAGGGTGATAAGCGTGACTGATGACACAAAGACAAGCCGAAAGTAGCACGCGGTTATTAAGGTTATTGCAAAGTACAGTCTTGGACAACAGTAACTAGAACATGTACTGGAAGCTTGTATGCAAGGTTTATGTAGGCGAATGTTGAGAAGGAATGTAAGGGATTATTTGTATCAACCTTTATCGCCCACCACGTTATATAAGAACGCGAAAATATTAAAAAGAAGATGGACACTTTGGCACTGCGTATTTATCAATGCTGTAGGCCATTGGGGACCCATACAGAAGGAAAATCCATACAGTTTGCCCACAGTTTAGTTTGCTCCGAAAAACGAGCACCAAAGCAAGACAAGCACCAAAAAGACGGAATAGTCTTCTTTTAATCCTGGTGCTTTATCAGCGCTTACTTCTTTCGAAATAAGCTAGTTCCTTGTGTCCACAGCTGTACAAAAGCAAATTGCAGCGGTTAGCAAATACTCCGGTTATTGCCTCGAACCGCTCAACACTCGGAACAGTGACATGCCAGATTTCGAAAATCGCGACGTTTGTCTGGACAAAGATGTGCGATGCTTACAAAGTCGTAGGAGCTTTCGAATGCGCTGTCTCCCTGCGGCTGCCAGCGGGTTAGGGAAGAGGCAAAAGAAAGAGCACATTGGAATCCGGCTGGTCGTTAGTGGCGCGCAGAAGCGACGCTAAAGGGAGCAAAGGAAGCCGGTGCCCGACCTGCGTTCCACCCTGGTCGGAGGCGAAGTGGTGGTGGTGCTCCTGAGGCCTGCGCTTCGACTTCTGCAAGGAAACAGTGCGCAAACGGAGGGTCTGTGCCTTTAAACGGCCCCTGAGAAATAGACCGTTTTGTATGTCACGTTTTGTGGTACGAAAGGGAGTAGGTTAGTTCGCTCCGAGGGTCTGAGAGGCGACGCCGTGCTGGGGCATTTTGTACAAAATGATTAACCATTCTTTTAATCACTGCTGAAATCCAATAGAAATACAAACGAGATAGAAACACATACTCATAGTGTTCTGAGTAGATTCATGTTAAGCCAGGGTCACACTGCTCATATATTATGCAAAATACAGTCTGTAAAAACGAGTCACCGCAGTATCCGTGGTTCGAATGCCGTGTACCACGTTTTCTCCTCGAACTCATTGCCATGCGGCATTCGAAGCACGCATGGCAATGAATACGTGCTTCGCGATGACAAATCAAAGTCAAATTGGACGTTTGAGTGATTTATACAGCGTAAGGTTGGTCTGCCAGTAGGGGCGACACTGGTTTACACTGTAGATGAGCAATTTAGCCAGTGCAGTACAACCGCTAGCCTGGGGTCTTTAACGTGCACCACGCAGTAGTGATACACGACCGCACGCCGGTACGATGCTCATCCAGATCGAAACGGGCAGGGGTGGGGCTCGAACCCAGGATCCCTGGGTTCTGCAGCGCGAGCTTTCGCTCCACGCGCGTCGAGCTGGGTGTGCGCTTCAGCCCACTCGGCCACCGATCCCCCTTCGCGATGACTCGCGTTTGAAAGTGCATGCAAACTGTCTTTTGTGTGATGTATAAGCAGTGTGAGCCCGGCTTTAGTGGCACTGATGCTGTTTTAAATGTATGATGCATACTCCTAAGTGGCACGTCCCGGCTTACTGTTAAAGCCGGGGTCACACTGCGTATGCATCGTACCAAACACAGTCCAAATTCAAGGAGAAACTTGGAACGCGGCATCCGAACCACGGGTATCGCGTTGACTGATGTTTGGCAGACTGTCTTCTGCATTACGTATAAGCAGTGTGACTCCGGCCTTAGGAAAATCCTTAGATGAATCGAAGGAAAAGCAAGGTAATGTCTTTCTGTTTGTTTGCCCTTGTCTAAGCTTTCTACAATTTCAGGGTTTCATGCAATCGTCGTACAAGAACGAGGAGGAAATATTTGGTGGTCTAATATCCCATTCACACGGTCAACATAAAGGTACCTTTTACATAGGTCCCTTTGCCATCGGCGAATCAGCCCGCGTTCTTCGGTCGCGAGCACACGCCACGCGCGGAAGATCGTTAATTGATTTACTGCAGAGAATAAAGGTCTTTTAGCTAAAGGTACCTTTACGGTCATGTGAATGGGCTATTATATCCCATTCATATGGCCAGCATAAAGGTACCTTCAACACAAGTCCTTTTGTAATCGGCGATTCAGAACGCGCTCTTGGATTGCGAGCTCATGCAACGCGCGGCGGAGGATCGCGAACTGATTCGCCACCGGTCACAACGGCCCCTCAGCTAAAGCTACCTTTATGTTCGTGTGAGTGGTGTATTAGTCTCCGCGGATATAACGCTATACGGAGCGCAAGTTCGTCTGCTCCTCCCGCAGGAGTTACAGTGACGTCAGAACGCCGATCTCTGATTGGCTCCATTCGAAGGATAGTGGGTAGACCTCAAGGCAGTTAGCATTCAGGTTTATCCGCTATCCTTCCAATCGGAGCCAATCAGAGCTCGGGCTCTTTCTGACGTCACTGCAACCCCTGCGGAACAAGCAGACGAACTTGCGCTCTACATAGCAGACTCTACATAGCATAAGGTAGCAATGCTTGATCTGTGGTAGCCATTGAAAGGAGAAAAATAAAGGCAATATTGCGCACAGAAATCACAACCAAAACACAGTGCCGTCGGCTAAACGTAGCTTATTTGGGCCCGCTCCAGACGGGGTAATTTCTCCCAGCAACTTGATGTCGCAACACCAGTAACACGAGTCATTCGCATTCGCACGCCGCGATCGAATTGCTACGTTTTTTTTAATTATTCGTTGTTTTGTTCTTGGGCTGGGTCAGGAGGAAGGGCCAGTGTAAAAGGCTATCACTGATTTTTTACAGTTCGATATATAAGCCATCTTCATCATTCAATTTAATTATTTTTGTCTATCTATCTAGACACTAAAGTTGAGGCTTGGGCGAGCTGGTACATACTTTGGAAGACACACAGTTACGCGCTATAAACATGTTTTTATATCTTTAAGTGGCGTAAATTTTTATGAAACGATATATTCCTAAAATTGATCCATTTCTAACCAGAACCAAGTCTTTAGTTGTCATCACTACCACCACAGGGATGTCACGTGAAGATATCGCGTTCCTCATTGCCTGTTGCCGCTTCAAATGTCTCCGAATTGCTCGTCCGTATCAAGCCGGACGCGATAACAGTCATTCGTGTTGTAGCGCGAAAATCTGGGGAAAGCTAGGGAACAACTCGCCAAGAACACTAAGATTGCTGGGGAAATTTCCCCGCGTCTGAAGCGGGCCTTATGCGGAGCATTGTTCCGGACTGAACCTTAAAGGCTGTGGCCTCACGGCTCCTGAGCACACGGAGATTCGTTTTTATCTCGAATGATAGATACTTACCAGTCTGTCATTTGGTCAAATATCTAATCAGTGCTTCTTGGAACGAAAGGTTTAATAGATACACATAATTAAAGGTGCAGGAATGAGTATCTCATTAATCATTTATTAATATGCAACTTCCAAGCCACTAACGAACCTCACTCATGAATCCCGATGAAGACTGACGGGTCCGTGTTTTACTCTACCGTATTGGCTTAATAACTGAATAATACGTAACTTCCGCCCCACAAGCGCCCCTCACTCATTGCACAGACTAAGATTGACAGGATGTGCTTCCTAAAGTGTGCAATCCGCACCGGGCACGATGGCACGATTATCGCGAGAGAGCAGCAGTCGCTGGGCCGGCAGAAGCTCAACGTGCGTGCGGCGTCCACTTGCGCAGGCACTGCAGGCACATTGGAAGGGAGACGGCTTTGATCTTTGTGACCCCGGGAAGTGCATCAGACGGCGGACCGCCCTTAGAGTGCTGATTTGAAACTGCTCTCCGAGGTCTGCTCGCATTTATGAGCAATGAGTGATCCTCGGGCATTCTTGAGCAGTGAGCGTGTTATTAGAGAAATATTTTATAGTTCGTTTCTCCTATAACTCGGAACGTAGCCGATGCAGCGAATCGATGTGGCCATTCAAGCAGCGCTAAAACTGCAATGTCACGGCCTTCGTCGTCTATGAGTGCGAATTGCTCTCCGCGGCTAAAACAATCAAATGCACCGACTGCGTCGCGAACTGGCGTTTCTTGTCTGTACGTCTGTGTTTATGTGTATTCTACGCTTTGTCTGCGCTCTGACTTGAGGTAAAATTAAGTGTACGTGTATCTAGAGAATCTGATAGACTTAAGAAAGAATGACACTGGCGAGTACATAATAAGCGAGAGAAAAAAAAAGATGAAAAAAAACCTTAACGAGCATTACAAAAGCTTAAATTCAGTGTGAAAATGTAAAAAAAAAAAAAAGAAATTAACCCAAGGTAAAAACAAAAACGAAAAAACAGCACTACAACACACGCATGTTTTACGAGACTGGTACAAAGTCGCTTCAGATGCCGTTTCACCGATCCCAATCACAGTAATTCATGTAGGGCCGCCGCGTCTGCGTACACGTAGACACATTCGCTTTTGCACTTGTGTCTGAAGACAACTAAGCACCCTTGCTCTAGTTCAGTGCCTTCGAGAAAGTTGAAAAAAAAAACATAAAAAAAAATGCTCAGCATTTTTTTTTTTCTTTTTGTACATCGGTCAGGGCTTTAACAATATTCCCTTAGACAGAGTTGTGTCCTCTTTTTACCTTCCTGTTAAAAACAACGTCGTTTTTTTTTTGTTTTTTGAGGGAAATAAAAACAACGACGACGTATCCTCTTCTTTTTTTCTTTTCATAGCGACTGGAATGTTTGGGAACATATGTTAGAAAGCAATCGACTCGTAATGGTGAAGCCCCCCTTTTTTTGGTCATCTTAGATACTTATCGTCTTCATTCGCGCACCAGAGATAAAAAGGTCTCGCTTCCGCCGTGCGTGATGATTTTGACGGTCACCGACAACTTAAGAAGGACGGGGTGTGACTTATGACGTTCACGCTCCCTGCTTCCTGATTGGTTCTTCGGAGTTCTTATCGAGTGAATGTGGCAATTCTATTGGCTACGGAGCGATAATGAGATGCTTGGAATTCGCCACACCCTGGGTTTCTCAGGCCGTGAGTGACTATAATGTCTCTCTCTTTCTCTCTCTTTCGATGCATCGTTCCACCTTGTTTCGGCTGTGAGAAAGTTCAGATCGAGCGCTTTCGAGCTTGCCTGCCGCAGGATAATCAAGATTAGGCATCGAAAGTCACGATTGGTTACGTCCCCACGCTTTCAAAATTGAGAATTTTTAGTGTTTGGGCTGTTTTTACCCGTAATCACTTTTATTTTTCGTGCTTAATATTTAGCGGCTTGTTTCCGCCTATTAAGTTCATTAAGATTTCAGTCCCTCTACTATAGCACTTCTCACTTGAAATAGGTTACGTGTAAGTTTTGATCCGGATAAACAATTAGTATCTGGGCACCGAAGCTCTTGGTCCAGACTCAATAAGTGCTCCGTATTGGCAAGAACCGGGTGTACCAATTTTTATAGCAAGTTTATTTTAAGCTAAAATTAGCGTGGTAACCTTCCAATAAAATGATTGTAGCATTTGTAAAAGTCGGGTGATAAGCAAGATATAATTTTCTTAGAAAACCTTAGTAGCGTTTACGCGGGCCCTGTTTACCGTCCTGATAAAACGTCCGTGGTACTATACTTTGTGTTTTTCGATCCCATATTTACATTTTTTTTCGTTACTCTTGTTTCATTTCAATTTTAACTCCGCTGTCCAGATTATCAAGGGCATATAAATACATATGATGTGCGCGCTGCAAGTATATGATCAAACAAACAGATGTATCTTCCTTATGTTTAATTATTGTTACCAACACGCTCGTCTTGTACTTAATGTTCTCTTCGCCGATAAAAAATACCTACACTAGAAATGTTTAATTCGCACGTACCTGTTTCATGTAGCGTACCGGTGGCTGAAAGAAAAAATACAAGGAGCCCGCATTGTCAAGAAAAGGTCCACGACAGTCGATTGCAGTCAATAGCAGCTTATATTAATATATCTTACGCCGTCTCCTTTGTCTCCCTTTTCTCCTTGGGGACCAAGCTTTCCCTGCGAGGAAAACAAAAACGCATCGATGAATCTTCCCTAAAACAAAGGTGTCCCAATGTTAGTAAGGCCGTGACCCTCATCATTGGGTACAACCGTGCGAAAGCACATATGGTTGTTATCAAAAGGTTATTTTCTGGAGGATCAGACGAATAATGACAAAACACAGTCGGAAAATTTCTCCCCTAATACAGTTGTCAACTGCGTCAACTTGCTTATATATATAGATGGCTAAAGCGCAGTTACAACCTATTGACAACTGTTGCGCTAAGTACAACCTGATGCCAAGCGCGAGCTGGAATACGAATATTCGTGACCCTACCATTTAGTTATTTACAGCGGTGGTAACGGCTACAGAAGAAGCTTGTCGCGTTAACAAAATGCAGGCGTCGTTTGCGTTGTTTGCCCGAAGGATTGAAAAGCTAAAAAAACAACGACTTAGTGTATGATTCGAAATTCGCATCACTGGGCACTTTTGAAGATTTGACACCACTGCCTGAGCCGTGCCAGTTGTCTCGATTTTGGTACGTCGCGCTCACTTTAACAGAGAAGGAATACAGCGGAATTAGACATTCTAATCGTGTTTTATTAGCGTAACTGGTACCCGTTTCAAGCATCACGACTGAATCCGCTCTCCAGTGGCCCTCTTGTTATTAGCTGTATAGTGCAAACTTCACAAAACTTTCGCACGTGTCGGAAGCTGCTAGCAGGATATGAACAGTATCAAGCACGTCTGCTCTGCGGCACACCATACTTCGCCCATCCTGAATAGTTATGCTCTCGAGCCCCAGCTCTCCGGGTTCATCGTATTTATGTGCTCAGCTCTAGAAACGTCTATGTTTCGGCCTGAGCACGGCCAACGGAATGCGACACCCCGAAGAGCATCCAGAGACTCGATTCCCAAACAAGGCTGGTATATCGTTTCGCAGAGAGAGACCTCTCGGGCTAATGACAGAGGCGCGGCGACATCGTAGCTCGCAACGACATAATTTAGCCGGCGTGTTCTTTATTCTTTAATTCCTACCTTAGCAGAGTCCTTGCTTGTTTGTGGCGCTTGCTCGTAATATACCATGTTTCGTTTTTTATGTCGATGTTATTGTGGAGTGGTAATTCGGTAGGAAACGGTACAAGTGGCGATCAACTACACCCTTATCACCGAAATTAAGGTTAAACCTAAGCAATAAAAAAAAATCTTTTTTATGTATACAGTATCTATAATTATGGTGCCTGGCACGCCACTCCGACTGGTGGATTTATCGCGTCTTTAATTTGTCTTCTCGACTTCCGGCTGGTGACGTCATAGCTGCGTAGCGTTCTCGATCGCCGCGCTCCTGGCGGTGGTAGAGCAGTGGAGATGAATACGGCAGACGCCTGGTTCGGCTGCAACTCGCTCTGCCGCCGAGTCAACAGAAACTCTAGCAGTCACGGCAGGGCCGTACCCAGAAAAAAATTTCGGGGGGGGGGGGGGGGGGGGGGTTTCGGGGACAACGTTGGTCATTTTGAAAATGTCTATTGTCTCATTTTCGCCTATGAATCATGTGCATCGGTGGCATATAATGGAGAGTTATAGCAAACCGGAGAACCGGTCCCGGTTTGGTACCCGGTAGCCGACCGGCGCCACTGCGCGTGCGCAGAGGTGGAGATTAAAATCGGCTGGCTGCAAGTGCACCGACCAGGGCCGTACACAGAAAAAAATTTCGGGGGGGGTGGGGGGGGGGGGGTCAGAGACTCAGAACCCCCTAACCCGCCCCCCCCCCCCCCCCCCCTGGTTACGGCCCTGAGTCACGTGGTCGAACGCCGGGTGCAATACCGACCGGATCATGAAGTTTGGTACAGCAGGTGGTGCCGTCTGATGCGAAACTATTCGCAAGTCCGAAGCGCCCTGTGGCCGCATTTATATCGGGCCCGATCTCGAGCCCTTGCCGCCAACACCGACGCAGAGTTTGAGTCCAATGGTTCGTTGACGCGGCTTTTTCCCCACGAAAATTGCCCTCTTTGGTCGCCAGCCGCAATGACTAGCAGCCAACCAAGGCGCCTCTAGCTCACTGCCCTGAGGCTATAGCGACGGCCGCGTGTCTTTTTTGTTTACGACTCTTCGACAATCGACCGCCAGGTTCCGACAACCCGGAGTTATTACTCGACGGCTCTAAGGACGCATTTCGCTGCTCTTTAATCGGCGGTCACACAGTTAACACATTGTACAGAAGACAGTCCGGAAACACTGTCTGAGGCGTGTGTCTTTTTCGTTCTGTCAGAGTAATTATGCAAAAAAAAAAAGCAAAAAAAAAAACGCATCTTTACGTGGTGAATGATGTTGATTGGGGCGCAGCTCTGGTGGTGCTTGTCTGCGTAGACGCTCAGCCGCAACCTGCCGAGTTTTGCGTTCGTTTTCATCCATGTCAAGCTGCGGTCAAATGCTCAAATGCGTATATAACCAGGTTCCATACCACACATTCTCTTTCTGACATGGATGAAAACGAACGAAAGGCTCGGCATGCTGCAGCTCACCGTCTACGCAGACAAGCACCACCAGAGCTTCGCCTTTATCAACATCATTCACCACGTGGAGATGCGTTTTTTTTCCCTACACGAGCACGGGAGCACGTGCTCACATGCTCGTGAGCACGTGAGCTCACGAGCAGGAGCACGTGCACCCGACGGCGGACGGACATACGGACATGGCTATTGGGCAGGAGATCGAACTATAGGGGGAGCTTTATCAAGCTTGTCGTCCCCACAGCCCGGTGTTTATTATACTCCGTTTCACCTTATGTTGTACCGCAAACAAGGCTAGAAGCGCGAGCTCATAGCATTGGGAGCTACTGTTAACGCACGAGAGCTTGTTCCGCCGAGTTGTGCCCTAGAGCAAGGAGCTCGCGCTTGTAGCCTTTTCTGCGGTACATCATAAGGTGAAACAGAGTATAACACAGAATAACAGTGAAATTAAACCTCGCCATGCACGGTCTGGACGCGAGCGCTTCACTCTTACCAGTGCTTTGGTTGCACGAGGAGCGGCCATTCGAATCGTCACCATTGATATCGCTGATGAAAAACAAACAAGAAAATTCGGTTTGTTGTCCCCACAGCTGAAGCGTGCCGCCAGAGGCGTGACTGTTCGATCTCCTCCCCAATAGCCCTAAGGAGCTTCGCCCCTAAAAAAAAAACAAAAAAAAAACCACGTCTACAGACATGTTAGGGGTACACATATGTGTGAGGCAAACATGTTTCGGAAATGCTCCAGGTGTGTACGTGGATAGTTTTGTCATCACGTCTGCAGTGTCATGTACTGGGTCTGGGTCACACCAGCTTGTCATATACAAACAACAGTCTACAAACACGGGTCACCGCAATGTCCGTGGTTCGAATGCCGCCTGCCGAGTTTTCTACTCCAACCCATTTCCATGCGGCGTTCGATTCAAAGATCTCACGGTGACTTGTGTTCTAATCTGTTTGCTGGCTGTCTTTTGTACGACGTATAACCGGTGTGACCCTGGCTCTATGGAACACCCACACCAATGTGCGTCGAGGTATATACGAAACGCTCGACCGCACGCACTACTGCAGCCGAAGATGTGCCTTAAGCGTGTTTCACATGCAGCGGTTTTGGCCCTAGAGCGGCGCGATCTCTTCCGTCGCGGCGCTCTGGCCAGCACCAGCGGTTGAGCAGCACGAGCGCCGCGACGGCAGAAGTCGCGCCGCTCTAGGGTCAAAATCGCTGCATGTGAAACACGCTTTAACCGCTCATTCACACTGGAAGCGGATCCGCGTTCGCAAAGCGGTTGCGAGCGCAGTTGTATAAAGATCCACTACAATTGCACGCGCTCTCGATGACATCAAGTGCGCGTGCAATTGTACTGGATCTTTATACAACCGCGTTCGCAACCGCTTTGCGAACGCGGATCCGCTTCCAGTGTGAATGAGCGGTCCGGCCGGTTCAGACGCTTGTGTTTGAGTGCGCTTGACTGCGTTGCGTTGAGAACCGAAAGCGAATCACCGGCACATCTGTGCTTCGTATGAAGCGTGGAATCCAATTCAAGGAAACATCTTGGCACGCGACATCAAAAGCAGGGATGTCTTGGTTTGTCGCCGCCGCAACGCAGTCAAACGCAGTCAAACGCAACTGTCTGAACCAGGCTTCAGGCACCGTTCTACGACCGCTGCGAGTCTAAAACGCTGCTGTCCGTAGTATCTAAATTTTTTTTGCGGTCACGGCGAGCCGTCTGCTCGAAGGACGAGACGTCGCCATCTTATTTTCCCTTACAACACACCTCACAACATTGTAGGGAAGCGAATATCGGCCATCGTTTGCCGACAAAGGACGGATCTTTTTAAAAACTAACTATTTTACCTCATAACCTCGACGACGTCTCTCCGACGACAGATACAACTATAACATACCGTATTTGCTCGAGTAATAGCCGTGCTGGTTATGTGAAAACAAAGCCCGTGGGTCTGCTTTCCCGCGGAACACGGGGACAGTGAATCACCGCGATCGGCAAAAATATGGCAGCGATTTACGGAGAATCGTGTTCTCGGGGTCGTTATTCGCTGCGTTTTTTTTATGCTGCATTTTGCAGAACGCGAGGATTGGCTGTTCCCGTGTTCTGTAGAAAGGTAGATGCGAGGACCTTGTTCATAAGAGGAGCGGACCCCAAAAGTGATGACGTCACAACACGGTGCTCCGCTCCAAACAAACCTTCGCTAGGGTCGTTGTTATGGACAACTGCTGGGGGCTCGACAATATGTTAGAAATTGTCTGGTAGAAAAAGTAATTTTTTTGTAAGCATTGTGTCTTCTCAATATTTAATCATCTAATCATTCTCTCAGAAGCATAAAGCGACGACAAAAGCCCGTAATAAAGTTTCAAATCCGGTTTTGCCTTGCAGACGACACGATGGCTTCGCGCGTTCAGTGGTTCTTTCTGGGGGAGTACGCGACTGCGTTGAATGAAGTTGGTGACCATCGACAAAACTTCCATTCTCGGGATCAACTTTCGATTAGATTTCGAAAGTTTTCCCACTTACCCCGCACCTCCACCAGAAATGTCGCGGATGGAAAAGACTCGATGAGCGTAAACTGAAATTTCAGGTTTAATCGGCGAACTTGTGCAAGAAACAAAAAGAAGGAATGCGTCGAAAGAGCAGCAGCGTGCGTCGCCGCGTCGGCGTGACAGCTGGCTCGAGAGAGTGTGAATGTGCCTCGGCGTCGGGAGAATCTGAGGGACTCGGCAAAGCTCACGCTTGACTCTTTATCTACAGAATTTCTCCGAAAACAATTTACAGGTTTTTTTTTTTTTCACCGCAAAAATAAATTATTTATCGCCGAACGCTCACCTCCGCCCACTGTGTAGCGCTGGAGGTTCGAACCAGGTGTCAAAGTTTTAGCACGAACCGATATTTTATTTAAAAGGGATAAGCGATTTTCTGAAAGTGTCAATGGAAAAATGGTGGTCGACGGAGCTCTCGAATACATAGAGCTCTATGGGCACCAAAACCGAAAACGGGCGGAAATGGGCCCCATTTCCCCCTAAAATTTCCAGAAAATCACTTATAAGTTAACACAAAATCAGTTCGTGCTGAAAATCTGCCATCTGGTTCGGACCTCTAGCGCTACCTTTCGGCGGAAAATGAATGTTCGGCGATGCGTAGTTTATTTTTGCGGTGAAACAAACGCTGTAAATTGTTTTTAGGGACACTCTGTACTACACTCGGCATCCCGAACAATCGATATAGAATGTTGGAGACTGAATAGGAAAGGCCATTTTGGCGTCTTTCTCTTTTACCCCCGAAGTAAAATTAAACACGAATCTTCTAGAAGTAGGAAGAAGCGTTCCTTCTCGGTCATGCACGCGGCAGTATAACTTGTCCAATGTAGGTTATACATCGGGTAAACGAAGGAGCTTATCCAGCTCCTTCGCTATTTGAGGTCTTACTTAAAACTGAAGAATCAGTTGGAATTTTTTCTCATTGCGATGATTATAAGCAGGTACAAAACACACAGATATTGCGAGCCTCAAAAAGGAAGTTTGGGGTCTCAAACCGCCCATGTTAGAGTCAAAATATTTACTCCGTCATTGCGTTTATCATGCGTTTGTCGTCTGCAGCATGCAGGCATCTCGAGACTTCTCGAGGACCGGAAGTTGTTGTCGCAAATATATCAGAATCCACCGATTTTCGACAATCTTTCGTCCTGGTTAGTGTGAAATCTAGGCTCCCAATGTCTATTCTTTTTAGGCGACTAAACTCAAGGTCCGATTTCTGACCGATCGTTCTTTCAGAGAGAAATTCAGTCCCATGTATTCGTCCATAGCAACTCCCCTAGCAACGGTTTGTTTCGAGCGGTGACGTCACACGTATGAGGTCAATTAGTTAAGCAGATACAGCGATTCAACCTCCGTCCCAGAAGCTACACCTCCTACACACGCTCTCAGATCAAAAAAAACAAAAAAAAAACAAGGACGTTTTGCACGAAGTTGTTCTGACAAGATTTGGTTGTCGATGGAAGAAACGACGTTTATGGTGTTTGAAATGGGTACGTCTCGATACAAATAATATAAATCTAATCTAAGACGCACCTACGTTAGTGGTAGTAGTAGTAAGCGTTTTATTGGAAAGGAAAACCTACCAAACGCAGGAAGGGTGAAACTAGTCAAGTTCCGCGAGGAGCCGGACGTTTTTTTTCTTTTTCTTTTTATACTACGATTTTTGGGGTGAATACGAGTATAAATAACGAGAGGGCTGGAGTTACTACGTCAGCTACAGGAGGCCAGCGCGCTACAGACTGGACACAAGCGTTACGTCAGCTTTCGGCTGGAATTCGTGTCCAATCCGCGACAACACGAGTCCCAACCGAACGCTGACGCTGCACTCGTGTCCAACCAGGGCCCCGCCGCGCTGGCCCCCGGTTGATGACGTAGAAATTGTGATTCTGCGGCCTCGCCATCCAGGGGGTACTTCTAGAAGTGGGAGACATCGAGCGAAAGCCGAGAACGAAGTCGGTGAATAATAATCGAGGTTGAAACTTTAGCCGTTTGAGTGTCCACTGAAATTATGGTCCATTTTTTACCATAGAGGCTTCGACTGACCTTACCAGAGAGCTTTGTACGTTGCACATGATCCTAACCGGAGACGACGGACGACAAAGGGGACAAGGGACAGGCACAGTCGTCTTTTTACCCTAATTTTTGTTTTTACCTTGATTGTTTTTGCGCTTACTCTTACCTTGACTCTCTTTACTCTGATTTTTTTAAACGAATACTTTTTATCTGAAGATTAGAATGGAGTGTACCCAGCAATGTCAACGTTTTTTAATCCTTTCTTTTTTCGTCCAATGGCGATTTACTGCCGTCTGTCTCCTGGTGAATAAAACGTGGCCGCGTTTGAGTATTCAGTTTGTCCTCTCTGTTTATTTTTTTTTATTTTTTTCTACGTTTCAGTGCCTCAGATGTAGCATCTCCATCGGCTGTCATGTATTAGAAAAAGAAACGAAAATATACGTATCACACAAACAATAGCAAAACAAACGTTGAGCAGTAGAGCCACAGAGATGCGACAGTTTCGACACGTCACGGCGAAGTCGTTGGACATCGGCGCCGCGTTCACGCACCGTGTGGTGTCCGAACAAACATCAGTTCTATTCCATGTTGTTCCGAACGATTTTGTTCCTTTTTTTGTTCCGGAGCGCGCGAAAACGCTTATCCCGGTACGAGCTCGTGGCATTGACAGTGGTATGACTCCTTTTTTTTTTTTCTTTATAGGCCATTTGTTTTGTTTTTTAAAGGCGCGCGCAGTCGGCATTGCGTACTACAAAAAACTCTTAGTTTAGAGCAGGTTATTATGGGCTTTTAGCAAACTGTTACCGTCTTCCGCAAACCACGCTACCGGAGCCCTCGGAGGATGCTTCAAAGGCTCTGATGTCAAGTACGCGGAACACGGTAACGGTTTGCTAAAAGTCCCTAATTAGGGAGTTGTCGTAGATCGTTTCCGCTGTCCGGAAACGTTCTCCGCAACCCGCTTCGAGATCCGTGACTCTGCAAGCAAGGCTATAGCGCCACCGCGCAGGCGCAGTAGGGACGCGTCTTTGTTCCAGAGAGCCGAAAGTGGGAAGACGGTCTACAAAAACTCCTTACTAACGCTGTGGCGGACGTCCTACATCGCCAACTACAACTACCACAACATTAGCAACGGACGTCATTTCAGTGGTGAGAAGAGCCCTTATCAGCTATCGCAGTAAAATGATCCAAAACGAAGCGTTTGATGACGACCATACGAGACAAACGCACCACGCTCGCGCGTTTCTTATTCTTCGAGCCGCGCACAGCGCAACCAGTACCATTTTTTTATGGAATGTTTAATCAATTATCCCTACAACCTAGTACAATCGTAAAAATTAAACTTCGCAAATCACTTCAGAACACTTACAGCAGTGCAGGCTACAAGTTTTCATGTAGCGCTTCTTTTTTCTTCAATCTGAAAGGCACCTTACACCTCCTCCCACTCCCTTAATTCTCCCCCCTCCCCCCTCAAAAAAAAAAAAAAAAATAAATAAATAAAAAAAGATCACAAAACAATTTTTTTTCTTTTTTAACGAAAATACCGTAGTTCAGCATTTACGTCGCGAGACAGATTTTGAGTTAGCGGCAACTCCAAAACACGCTTCTATTTAGAGGCGTGGGCCCAAGAAAATTGCACAAATATCCTTTTTTTTTTTTCGGTGATACTTAGCTTTGCAATACGCGTCCTATCTAGGCACTAAAACTTTTCGTTTTATAAAGTTCAACGTCCCTTTCAACAAGCCCCGCCCTTAACCAGCATAGACGCGCACAGATGAAACGTACGGGAGGTCCAGGCAGTCCAGGTAGTCCCATGATGCCGGGAGGGCTCGTCTCCCCGACGCTGCCTTTCTCCCCCTTGGCTCCCGGATCGCCCTGCAGTGTGGAACAGGGAACGGGCGGGTCCCGAGGAATTCCGGCACAGTCGTCGTGTAACCGTCGCGAACGATTTGTGCTCGCCAACCTGGTCTCGTTCGGCCTCCGGAATGTCCTATAGCTCTTCTTTTTTTTTTTCCTTCCCTGATTTGAACAGGGCGTTTTTAAGCCGAGGATACCAACAAGATAAATGAAGCTGAATTCGATCGGTAAACGGCAAAAATAAATAAACAAAAACTGGCAATGGCTTTGAGGGAGGAAACGTACGTCTGTTAAAATGGGATCCCCGAACCAGCTTATTTTACGGAAGGAATGTTTAAGGGTGATTAAAACAGATCTAGTTGCAATCGATTCGACCGCAAAAAAAGAAAGGGGAGTCGTTTGTTCTTGCTCATTGTCGTTTTTATTTTCTAAAACTTTTTTTTTTCTTTTTGTGCGGGGCGGGGGAAACGGGGAAAGTCGGATTCCATGTCTAGTGGCCCGAGGCTGAATCGATCGTGGTTGCATTCGCTAATGCGAGCGAGCGGTGTATCCTCGGTTTTTTTTCATTGATTCCACTTGTAGGCAAGGATGGCGCCTGTTTTATGATCTAGGTTTAACACAAAAGTGTTTTTTTCTTCTTACGAGTTGCAGTCTGGCCATTTTTCAACAAAGCGAAGTGTTGACTTTTATTTCAAAGCTTTACATGAAAAGGGAAAAAAAAAATAAGATGTACGGTTTATATTAGTCGGTATGTTGTGCCTCATTTTTTTTTTAATAAATCGAGCGCGAGCTTTACACAGTAATAATATTAACAATGTCTCGGATGATGCGATGTTGAATATAGTACTGTGTTTCGAGTACTCGAGTGTCTGGACAGAAGTGTGTTGTACGAAGGGATTGATAGATCGTTGTCGCTTTGTTTTCGCCGTGAGTTCTTTTAAATTTTTCGGTAAAAGCGCGTTTAGAGTCACGTGAATACGCGATCCCACATTAGCTCACATTCGCCTGGCAATATATATAGCAAATAGTTGCTAAAAATGCTATTCTATAGAAGTTGCACTAGCAAGAAGTGGCAAAAAGAAGCACCATGTGGGCACACGGGTTATGTGTAGGCTAAGTTACATGCTACGGGATTTTATTTATTTTGACCTTGACCTTGACCTTGACGTTAAAAAAAAGATGCAAACAAAGAGAGGTTACTTTATGGTGTTTTACTATAAGGCACCTCCATTTCGGACTCCACCTCGACGTTCCCACGATACGTTGAATTACACATAAGTTCAAAATATGCTGAAATCGGTTTCGAAAAGATTTCCCGTGCTCGTTTTTATTTAAATTTAAACTTTAGCGTTACGCACAACTGTTTTTCACTTTCCGCAGAAATTCGTGCAGCATTTATAAAACCATGTTTCCAATTAGTTTTGCTACATTTGCTCTGTCACTTGTCACTTTTAGTGCACCACTAAAACTGACCAAAAGGTTTTCAAGGCTCAACTCAAAGTTAGAGAAAAGGATACAGCACGGCACTTATTTTGCTGAACTAATATGAGATTTTTTTTAATACCCATTCTGGTCTGGCACGACTAGATACTAGAGATGAAAATTGTCGGAGGAATACACAAATAGGCAACAGTGGTGCACGGGAAAAGTATCCACTACTTTAAAATTACTTGTTGTTGGGCCAGTTGGTAACTAACGTTTTGAACCATGATTAAAAGCGCTAAAAAGACGAACACAAGAGAGACAAAAATGTGTGAAATCCCCCTAACCTCTGGAAAGTCTTACGTTGGGCGAACGGGAAGGTGCACTAATGACCGTTTGAGGGAGCGTGCACGACATTTCAAAGACAAATGAAGGCACATTCGCCCACGCACTGTAGGGCCTGCCAATGTGAGCCAAGCTTCGGTGACACCAAGTTTCTAGGTAGAAGTAAGAATCAAAGAGCACGCGAACTGCAAGAGGCGTACTTTATCAGGAAGAGGGGGCCCCAATGGGCCAGCGACAGGTCGCTTGCATTGTATAATGCCGAGATACGTGTTTTTTTTTTTTTTTTTTTTATAAATTTATGTTAACGAGTTGAAGCGCCTGTATCCCAAAGCGTGCGTAGCCTAGGTGACGATAGGTGTCTTTCTCTCTCTCTCTCTCTCTCTCTCTCTCTCTCTCTCTCTCTCTATATATATATATATATATATATATATATATATATATATATATATATATATATATATATATATATATATATATATATATATATATATATATATATATATATATATATATACCTTTTTAAAAAAATACAGTTGTGAGTAGCGCCCGTGGTTGTCTTCTCTCTTGTGTTCGTATTTTTAGCGCTTTTAACCGTGGTTCACGATATTCATTACTTCAAGGAAACAAATTCTTCGCATCATCAAATACGCGTTTAATTGATATGAATTAAAGGTGTGACAATATAGAAAACAGTAAAGGTACGTGTTTCATTTTCCTCAGTGGCTTGAGCCTTTCTGTTCACACAACCTCACATTGGGAGCACCAGGATAGTTTCCCACATTATATTTGAAACATTAACAGAAATATAAACACAAATTTGTAAATTTCTGGCGCATCTTTTTTTTAACTAATCTATTTGCCAACATAATTACTGATATATAACATTAAGCTGCTTTCTACACAGAATACGTCTTGGGTTCGTGTCTCTTACAGAAATGACTCTATAAGGTGTAACACGTAAGTGCTCCGCTAAATTTAACGAAAATAAAAAAAAGGAACTGACGTGTTATTATACACGTAAACAAAAACGTAACAACCGCGAAAATATTATACTATTCCACATTCTGCGCACGTCAGCTGTATCATAAAGATCAAGTATCCGATGAATTGTTAATTCAGTAAATATCAGCTTCCGTATGCACGACCCACAACACTTACCGGGAGTCCAGGCCGTCCTGGTGTGCCATCTTCGCCCGACCTTCCAGGGTGGCCAGCCGTACCCTTGTCGCCCTTAGAGAGAGACGAGATGGTGCACACCGATTGAAGCATTCGCGTCTCTAAGTGTTGTATGCGGAAAAAGAAACGTATTACTGTTTTTCGTTACAATATTAGAAGAGCGTTGGGAGGTTCTCTCCCGAGGTGTTTTAAAAGCAGGCTAAAACTCAGTCGGACAGGCCGCGAATTATTCTACAAATAGGGTCGTCGACTCATTGCGTATGCAATCTGTAATGTTCGTTGTGCAAAAAAAATGAATAAAAAAGAAATTATTTGCTTGGAACATATAACGCCTCGGCTAGGAATTAAAGATTACTTTAGACCCACGCGGGGCCGTTTTACGCACTCGCATAGCAATTGGCCTCTTTAGGATTGCGGTCTCAATGAACCACCTAAGTGCAAAAACAGTTTTTAATCAGTAAAATATAGAGGAATCCAGAGCTCTACAATGCCACTGTTGCTTCCCGTGATCGCCAAATACAATTCATAGCGAGCGAAAATGACCGTCTAGCCGACGAAGAAACAAAAAATGTTAATACTTTCCAGGTTACAAGTTCTATATAGGTACTTTCCAGGTTACAAGTTCTATGTATATGACTGTGACATGTAGAGATTCCAGAGCCGTCAAAGATGACGCTGGGTTTATTACTGCATATTTCAATAAGCGCTGCAGGTGTAACGGGAACCTTGTGCCCAAGTCTGCCGTAGTCATTACGTTTATTACATACGTTTTCATCAAGCAGTCACACAGGCACGATCTACACGGCACATTAAAAGCCACAACCACAACACATATGATGGCCCACTTAGAATCTGTGTGACACGAAATTATCTGGAATTTCAGTCAAGGTGGCATTTCACGTATCACAGCGGCATATTCAAATTAGACTGGAACACAAACGAGTCAATATGGGGATTATGAGATTTGAAATAGCAAAACAATTTTTTTTTCGTGTTTGAGCTTTAACATAATCTTTAGACCTTTAAGACCTGACAGTACGACTGAATGTTTACAATATTTGTAATAATTTGATTTGAAATATTTACGCCATTATGTTTATCTGAAGAATCTCGGGCTGTTGGTAACCATAAAAAAAATCAATGAATGAACAAACGACTGAATTATTTATTGTGAAAAAAAAGTAAAAAAACGAAGACGACGAGAAGGAACAAACACGACAGGACGACGCTGCACTCGCAACTGAAGTTTTATTAGTGAAAAAGGTTAAAGGAAAATAGCATATGCAAAACAGATAACAGATACCAACAACAATTACCTACTCATTTATCATGCGCAACTTTTCATATCACGCACAACCACTTTTCATATTCGCTCTCAAAAGGCAAACCTCTTTATCTGACAAAGCCACCGACGGAGCGCTGACACATAGAACCCCCAAATTAAAAATGAAAAAAAAAAGCTTCTATAATTTCTCTTGTTGTTTGTTCCCTGTGTTTGACCAGGACAGCAACTTTACTGAAATCCGGCACAAACTCTTATCTACTGCAATGCGTTGCCAAATGCCTCCCCCCCCCCCCCCCCCCCCCCCCCCAAACAGTGGCCCCCAGTCCTGCCCCACATAAAACGTATTACGAGATAAGGGGATTTTGTAAAGAACAGAAGAAACACAGGTCAGGAACAGTTTTCGGTGCGCTGTAGAGCAGATGACTTTTTGACACCTATTCCCGTCACCAATCCTAGAACACACTTGGGGTATTTTTGAGGTATGCCGAGAACACTACTGGTATGACGTACCTCTCTCCTACTTTCTTCAGGTTGTGGGAGATTCGATGTAGGTACGGAACGATGACCGTGCGTTTTCTGTTAATTTTTTCCCTTAGCCTTCACACCTTTGGCCCTCTTCAAAAGGGAACTTGCTACCTCCGTCAAAAGGTTCACCGGAAACCCCGACGTCATTAGTCTCCCTACTTGCTCCCGGAAACTCTTGTCCATCAAAGTGGCAATGCAGGCGAGTTGGTTCATCGTTACAAAATGGAATCAGCGCGCAAACAACGAAGACACAAGGAAGAGAAATTGACAGGACAAGCGCTGGACTTCAACTGAACGTTTATTGAAAAAGAAACTAACGAGGAAAACAAACAAACCACCAAATCATCACCCCATCAAAACGTGCTCAAAAAAGCTACCTCTCTCTTAAGTAAAAAAATTGATGTTTGGCTGACGCATCGGTCACCTTCCTTTCCTATCTCAAATGCTTCAAGCAGCTCGCGTGCTGTCTTATCGGCCCCTCTTCCCAAAATCGAGATGCGATCAAATATCGGCTCGCACGAGCAAGTGCTGCAGTGTAAAGGCAAGTGACCGCCCGAGGTTGATCGCAGCGAAAGCGCGTGTTCACGTGCTCGGTCATTAACACATCGGCCAGTCTGGCCGATGTATACTCGACCACAGCTTAACGGGATCCTATAAACTACCCCCATCGCGCACTCGACGTACTTGTTTCTGTGCTTTACGGAACATCTATTCCTTCCCGTTCCCCTGTCCGCCACTCTGGGGCATAGCTGCAGCATCTTGCAGGGCGCCGAAAAGACAACCGGTACATCATAGCGCCCCGCAATCTTTTTTAGATTGTGGGATACCTTGTGTAAATATGGGATTACTTGCGGTCTCCTATTTGGCCGGTCTCTTGGTTGTTGGGGTCCCGTCTTTACCTTTCTTAGTAGCTTTTCTGCTACCGCCAACAGAACTGTCGCTGGGAAGCCCGCGGAGCTAAGCCGATCAATCTGCTTTTCAAAACTCTCCTGCAACGTGTGGGGGCAAGATTTTTCTAAGGCCGCCTGCAAACAAGATGACGCGATGCTCCTCTTAACCAACTTGGAGTGTGCGGAATCAAAGGGGAGGAGCCCTTTCTTTGTGCGTGGATGATAAAGCCAACACACGTGCCGCTCGGTGAACTTCATTTTCAAATCAAGAAACTGCAGAAACAAGCCGTTTTGGCGCTCATGCGTAAACTGGGGGATTGAAGTTTACGTCATTCTGGGGGATTGAAGTTTACGCATGAGCGCCAAAACGGCTTGTTTCTGCAGTTTCTTGATTTGAAAATGAAGTTCACCGAGCGGCACGTGTGTTGGCTTTATCATCCACGCACAAAGAAAGGGCTCCTCCCCTTTGATTCCGCACACTCCAAGTTGGTTAAGAGGAGCATCGCGTCATCTTGTTTGCAGGCGGCCTTAGAAAAATCTTGCCCCCACACGTTGCAGGAGAGTTTTGAAAAGCAGATTGATCGGCTTAGCTCCGCGGGCTTCCCAGCGACAGTTCTGTTGGCGGTAGCAGAAAAGCTACTAAGAAAGGTAAAGACGGGACCCCAACAACCAAGAGACCGGCCAAATAGGAGACCGCAAGTAATCCCATATTTACACAAGGTATCCCACAATCTAAAAAAGATTGCGGGGCGCTATGATGTACCGGTTGTCTTTTCGGCGCCCTGCAAGATGCTGCAGCTATGCCCCAGAGTGGCGGACAGGGGAACGGGAAGGAATAGATGTTCCGTAAAGCACAGAAACAAGTACGTCGAGTGCGCGATGGGGGTAGTTTATAGGATCCCGTTAAGCTGTGGTCGAGTATACATCGGCCAGACTGGCCGATGTGTTAATGACCGAGCACGTGAACACGCGCTTTCGCTGCGATCAACCTCGGGCGGTCACTTGCCTTTACACTGCAGCACTTGCTCGTGCGAGCCGATATTTGATCGCATCTCGATTTTGGGAAGAGGGGCCGATAAGACAGCACGCGAGCTGCTCGAAGCATTTGAGATAGGAAAGGAAGGTGACCGATGCGTCAGCCAAACATCAATTTTTTTACTTAAGAGAGAGGTAGCTTTTTTGAGCACGTTTTGATGGGGTGATGATTTGGTGGTTTGTTTGTTTTCCTCGTTAGTTTCTTTTTCAATAAACGTTCAGTTGAAGTCCAGCGCTTGTCCTGTCAATTTCTCTTCCTTGTGTCTTCGTTGTTTGCGCGCTGATTCCATTTTGTAACTCTTGTCCATCGTGTGGGCGCACGACTTCCAAAGAGCTGAAGAGAGACACGCGACAGCAATCCCTCTCTTCCCAACATTGGAATGTAAAGACCCGTAGTCCAGAATAGGCTTCTTGAAACGGGGTCTGTAAAACCAACACATGTGATTCTCCCCCCGACTGACCGACAGGTATAAAAATTGGAGTACACCTTCTTTAGGTTCTTCGAACGTGAAACTAAGTCCGCCACCACACTTACTGAAAGCATCCAAGACCATATTCCGAGTGTCACACCCACACGATGAACGACAGGATGGTTGTAGTGCAGATGTCACCGAAAACGGTTTTGACGTGTGTTTCTTCTGTTGTTAACAAAATCCCCTTATCTTGTTATACGTTTTATGTGGGGCAGGACGAGAGGTGTCTGAATGACAGACATAGAGAGCATTCCTATTCACTGGGGGCCACTGTTGTGGGGCATTTGGCAACGCATTGCAGTAGATGCGAGTGTGTGCGGATTTCGGTAAAGTTGCTGTCATGGCCAAACACAGGAAACAAAACAACAAGAGAGATTATAGAAGCATTTTTAATTTCCAACTTGGGGGATTTATGTGTCAGCGCTCCGTCGGTCGCTATGTCAGATAAAGAGGTTTGCTTTTTGCAAGCGAATATGAAAAGTGGTTTTTGAGGTTGTTCAGCCCTTATGTCAAGTGTTGCTCTTGATAAATGAGTAGGTGGTTGTTGTTGGTATCTGTTATCTGTTTTGCATATGCTATTTTCCTTTAATCTTTTTCACTAATTAAAATTCAGTTGCTAGTACAGATTCGTCCTGTCGTGTTTGTTCCTTCTTGTCGTTTTCGCCTTTGAGCTGTTTTTCACCATGAATAACATATACCAACTCACCCAAATCGCTACCTTAGTATAGAACGACTGAAATAATTTGGTTATCAAGCTATCGTATAAGCAACTGGCCATGTGGGCAATGAATTAAGCACCACTGATGTGCGACATAGCGAGAGCAACGGTTATACAAAATTATCCTACACGAGTTCATAGAGCAACTTTGAGCAAGCCTTGTGAAGTGGGACCGGACATTTCATCGAACGCCGTTTCATCGGACGCCGTTTCATCGAACGCCGTTTCATCGAATGCCGTTTCATCGAGCGCCGTTTCATCGAACACCGTTTCATCGAAGCCGTTTCATCGAACGCCGTTTTATTGAACGCCGTCTTATAGAACGCCAGGGTGGCATTCCCGCTTCCTGAAGCTGGTCGGAAGTGCCCATCCCGGGTTCTGGAAGTTTTTGACTTGCATCGCCGCAGAACATCAACAGACGGAAGACAAACTGGAGGCGATGCTGAGTTCCCAAGAGCCTCCTCGCCAGAAGAAGGCCATAGCGGCAAGAAATGAGAAGGTCCGCCTTTTTTTATGCGAACCGACGGGCCATGGCTGTGGGGGACTTTTTGAGAGCAATCGCTCATCATTTCAAACGGTGAATGGCAGTCGCACGAACATATGGACCCCCCAAAGTTTTCATATAAAATTTGAAGTGACGTACTTACTTTTGACTTCACTGAGTCTTAAAACTAAAAAAGAAAAAAAATGTTTCGTTGTAGTTTCATAAATAGCACCTCAGCTTTAGCTACTGCAAGCTTTGGGAACATGAGAGGCTAGGAGGCTCACATGGTTAAAGTTGTTGCGCCTGCGCAAAAACCTAAGTCGCCTTCTGGCCTCCATGAGTTGGAGTGCGCTCTTACCGGGAGTGCGACTTTTTATTTATTTGTTACAATACCCTCAAGGCCCATCGGGTAAATACAGAGGGGTGAACAGATAAGCACAATGTGCGAAACAAAAATAAAAATCGGTACAAATATCATCATGGGTTGCTTGCATTAAAATAAATTGTAACAGCTACAAGTTTGGTCATTAAAAAACTTAAGATGAAATGGGTGAATTACACGAAAATGCACTTGATCCGTGCATAAAAGAGCATCTTTCACACTTTTTCATTTAAAAGACCTTCGATGAAACGGCCGTCAGCGATTGGATGAAACGGCGTTCAATGAAACGTCCATTGTTTCGATGAAACGGCGTTCGACGGAAAGGCGTTCGATGAAATGGCCGGGAACCCTTGTGAAGGTCTTTCATTGTGGTCGATCAGCACATTACAGTCCTTGCTTACATATAGGGTATTTCTGAGAAAGCTTTCAAAATCCCTAGAAATGTGATTTTCAAAATAAAAAGGAACTTTACGGAAACAAACTACCAGTCTTGGCGGAGGTCAACGTTTTCAGGAAAATACTAATTAGCAAGATAATGAACTAAGATTTACTAATTAATTTTTAGTTAGTAAAAATAAACATATGGTTCCGCTGAGAAACTTGCTAAGCGTCAGCGAAAACCACTCAATCAACTAATTTTAGAAAGATATAGGGCAGAAGCGGCATTTTACGGCGTTCCTTCCGTAAAAACGCTCAATTTGGACGCGTTTCGAGGTTTCGGTTTCTTATCGGAGCGCATCTCTGCGCCCGCGGTCCTGCTCCCCGGTGGCAAAGACGCGCGACGCTCGTGCGCCATACTTTTTTCCGTCCTACGAGAGAGGCGAGGCGGTGGTTTCGCGCCGCGACCACCGGGCAGCAGGACCGCGGGCGTAAAGATGCGCTCCGATAAGAAACCGAAACCTAGAAACGCGTTTAAACTGAGCGTTTTTGAGTTGATTTAGTGGTTTTCGACGATGCTTAAGAAATTTTTCAGTGGAACCATATGCTTGTTCTCACTCATTAAAACATTAATTACTAAATCTTAGCTAATTCTTTCGCTAATTAGTATGTTTGAGCAATACTTGACGTCCGCCAAGGCAGGTAGTTTGTTCCCGGAAAGAGCTTTTTTTTTTTTATCTCGAAATGCTTTTAGGGATTTTCGATAGCTTACGCAGAAATACCCTGTACACATTTTTTTTTTTTTTTCAATGCAAGCAGGGAGTTTTTTTTCTTTACTTCAGGACTTGAACAGAGGCCACCTTAGATGCAGATATAGTAGGCGAACAACAAGTGGAAGAAGACAGCAGCGATCCGGTTGGCATGCATACCCTGGGTCCCGGGAGTCCGAAGTCTCCCTTCATGCCCTTGGTGCCGGGTTCACCCTTCTGTCCAGGCAAGCCCCGGATGGAGCGACCGTCTCTACCGGTGTTCCCCTACGAGAAAAAGGCGTGGTGTCCGGAAGAAAACATGGAGTAAAGATGACGTCTCTTCGTCCGTGGGTGGCGACCCTTCGCGGCCTATACGACTCTAAAAGCAAGAACAACAAGCGCAACAAAACAAAAAAAGAAAAAAAAAGTTCGTCGTAATCTCTGACACTATCAACGGGATGGAATACCACGAGACACCCCAGAGGCGAGAATGGACCCTTTTTCAAACTCCATCAAGAAACATTGGCGGTCGGCATTCTTTGGGGGCACGAAGCGTGTGACATGATCCGAGTCCCTGCCGAATGCTGGCGCGGCGCTCGTTCTCGACACGAACCGTGCCGAGTTCGCGCTGAACGCAGACGGAATCCAAGGGTATATGTGGCCAAGCATTGGCGGATTCGGAACATTGGCGCAGCTTTTGGAAAGGGTCTATTCCGCTCCCGCTAGCAACAACTGGGAATACAACTAAACAAACAAAAATACAGCGGTAAAAAACAAAACAAAATAGGAAAACAGGAATACAGCTTGAAGGCTAGATGTGGTCTTCACCTTGACGAGAGAAGGGATTCGGGAATAGCACCTAGAGGTATAAAATGAAGCAGCTAGAATGTAACGAAAAACGCCGTTTTTTTTTTTTTTATTTCCGTGTCACTTCATTTTTCTCTTTCGAAGCATTTGTACAGGTCGGAACACATTTACACGTGATGGTAATTAGTAGTGGTAGGGGGTTAATGTAATCAAATAGAGGGAGAGCGAAAGCATCATGCGCTGCTTACCTCTCCAAACCCAAGAAACGCAAACCCAGTGGGGTGGAGAACACCGGGAGACGAGTGTGTGTGTGAGAGAGCACAGCAACGAAAAACACAAAACGATGGAATGTAGTCAACAACAAAAAAGTAGGATAAGGTGGACAGAGGAAGTGCAACTCAAATCGTACACGCAAACCAAGAGTGAGAGCGGACCAAAAAGACAGGCTAAGTTATTAATTTTTTTTACTTTATTTTGTTTCTTTGTCTTCGGTCGACTTCAAACTGGATCGCTTCGAGAAAAGTACAAACTTACCTTGGGCGGATGATTTGCTCGTTCTAACACGTCTCGAAGGCTCGACACTTGTTTCGTGTGGCGCGAATGTGTTAGGAGCAGCACGGCGCGAGTTGCGAGACTGGAAGCCACGGAACTGGTGGCGGTCTTCGACTGGTCCGGAACTGGGACCATCGAGCGTTACCGCTCGTCATCCCCAAGTCGTTTCTTTGTCTTTAGGTCAGCTTTCAATTGCTCATGTACTGACAGATCCTGGGGGGCATCTGTAAATGATTATAGGTAATCACCCAAAGTAGGATGATGTAGCGTCTTGATGTCTCTATGGTACGAATATCCCGCGATCTGCTATGGTACCTGAACAACTGAGCGTGACCCTGAGTGGCTTCGCTTGCTAGGCAGAGATAGAATTTGAAGTAGAAGCATGAGAAACAGCGACATTAACGAGATCGCCACAAAAGACAAGAGTTTCATCGCTTGGTGGCTCTGGGAGGCCGTGGTAACCGACGGGCACCCACCTGGAACCAGCATGACGGTGCAACTTTCGGTAGTCTCGTTGATGATGGGAGCACGTTAGCGGGTGATGGTGAAATTGTTTTGTGGTGTCGTTATTTGGGCAACCCAGAAAAACAAAGATAATAACAACAAAGAGGGAGGATGGGAGGGTGTGAGGTCAAGCCGAGGGAGGCAACGGGAAAAAGGTGACAACCCAGGGACAAAGAGCGAGGGCATCTGGCGGCCAACAGCTGAACAAGCAGTGGACAAGCGAGTCGCTGAATGCACTTGCGTTGAAGGCGCCGTCTTCCATAGCTCTAATAATAACAGAGATCATTCTCCTGCGTCTGAACAGCGGTGTGTTCTCTCGATAGGTGTAGCTAGTAATAGGTAATGCGACGAGGTTACCTGGAAGCTTATGATCTCGTTTGGCACTCAACGTTTATTCCGGACGTGCCTACTTGCCAGACAAGTGCACCCAACAACTCAGAAAGCGAAGAAGCAAAGCGTAGCGACATAAAAAGCGTTGCGGGGATACAATACACAACGAGCTGGGGGCGGGTACAAAAACAAGAAAAAAAACAGCATAAACGCAGATAGGCGATATAGAACGACAATGCGCATCACACGCATCCACACTCAATCACGCACGCACGCCCACACGCACCGAACAGCAGTCTATAGTAGTGTAGTACACACAACCTCAACTGCACCGCGTGAGTCCCTACGATCCCTTTCTCGCGGCACAAAAGCTCCTTTTCATCGAGCGGTTGGGACAGTGTTTCTCGTCACGCGATATACTGTCCCTGTAAGCGGGAAAACTAAGCGACACGCAAGTATAGTCACGTGTGGTCACGAAAGGTACAGGCGACTTTGTGCTCGTTCATATCCCCGTCGCGCGGAAAACAAGGCGTAGCTTCCTTTTTTTTTTTTAATTCTTGATGTTTTTGTAACCTAGTTTATAGTCACTTACGGAACGAGAACGACAGCGCGGATCTTTCAAAGGCCCGGCCTTTAGGAGTCGCTCCATATGCCTTCAGCCGTGCTTTGAATGGGCGCTCGAGGTCTTCGAGACGCTCTGCCTAGGGTAGGGATAGGGATAGTCCCTTGTCAGGGACTATACCTCAAGCTGTTTGAAGCAACCATGCTTCGAAAATGCCCTAGGCGTGTCCGCAGGTACTTGCGTCATCGCGCCTGCTGCGAACACCGTCGCGTCTTTTGTGTGATATATATACGAGACGTGCGGCCGTGGGTTAACGATTGTGAGCGTTGATCGGTAATGTCCTTCGAAGCAACGCGTTTCAGAGCCCGGCACGCCGAGGGAGTAGGGACTCGCGCGCTGCTGGTCGCGTTCAGTTCGCGTCACGAGAGGGCATGCTTGTTAGTGGCGGGGCCACCGTGCGCGTGGCCACCTACCTTCTTTCCCCTGCGTCCTCGCTCTCCCTTGTCCCCCTTGGCACCGTCTTCTCCGGGAGGTCCCGGGATCCCCACGTCGCCCTGGAACCAGGCGCCGGCTAGTTCCCTCCGCGTGCCGCTATACGTATACGCCCGTCGTTGTGTCATTTTTGTCTCTAAACGTTTCTGTGATTCCTAAGCGCTCCTGATTATTGTCTTTATTCGAGATATTTTAAGATCCGATTCGCTATACCCCGCATATTGCGACCTTTCGCCTTCTTTTCTCCCGTGGTTTCGGCACTAGGTCGACCCTGAGACTGCAGCGTCGCGTCTCCTGGCCTGCTGTCGACGGTTTTTGAATTGCAGTACGGCTTAAATCGCGTTCGATCCTGAATACAACAAAAATAATTTATTCGAGTATTTTCGGATCAAAGAGATTCCACCAGTTTGACTAGAATCATATGCACACCGCCATGCACCCTAACATAGTGTTGAATAATATTTTAAACTTCATATACAGTTTTCCTACCAAAAGTATTGGCCTCTATCGTGACCTAGGTTCTCATTTTCGAAAGCCAATATCATTTACGACCTATAGGCCCCTAAACGAACCGTTAATGCCTGAGCTCACCTAAGGACTCTCAAACTCGATTCTTACTTTCTGGCTGGAATTGAGTTAATCTCAGAGTATAACCGTTGTGGGTGTTAAACATCTGCTGCGATACGAAACATTGCGGCGGATTTAAAACAACACACTTTTAAATATGACTGTCTTTACGGAATGGACATGTCATGGGCTTCAGCTGCTATGACTAAGCTTATATGCTGCATTGTATTACTGTAATATACCTATGAAAACACGAGCACTTAATTGGAAACATTAATCGTTGGGCGGACGTTGTTAGAGAATAAAAACAACACATCATCCATGCTTCACGTTCACGCGGTTTCTAAAATGCACATTAAAAAAAAAAAAAAAAAACACATCCGATTAAAGGGGCGATGCAAAGATTTTTTTTTTTCGCAGATACCGATTAGAACGGATCCCTGACGTTAATGATCTGTAAAACGCCCCTTCATTTTTCACCATTCGACATCGAAGTCGCAAAAAAAAAAAAATAATAATTGAAGAAAAACGAACAGCGTTTACTAGTCCTCAACTGGCAGCCAGAAGAGCGGCCACGTGATCTAGCCGATTATATGCCGCCAGTTGTGATTATAGATACATGCTGGGGTTGGCAAGGCACAAGACACACGCTGAATTCCAGACATTGTTATGGCTCGGCTATTGTCGTCATTGGAGCGATTGGACACGGGCCACTACCGGAATGCTTCTCGAGTTATCGATTATCGCGAGCCAAATCGAGTGTCCACACAATGCTCGGGTCCAATGTATGAGCCGCATTCAAATATCGTCACTGGGCGGTACTGCGACCACCTAGCTACGTCATCGAGTTTTGCAAAGGAGAGACTGAATGAAAACGCTGGCTTTTTTCCTTGAAATTACACCGCATCAAAAGAGTTTCTTGGCCAGTGGCGTTGCGTGTGAGTATCCTTGAGTCCCACTAGTGCCAATAAGCTCGAGTAAAGTGAAAGAGATTCCAACTGAATATCGTTGCACCGCCACTTTAACAAAATGATTGTGTATTATCATTCCCCAGAGTTGACAAAGCAAAAATATTGTAAACTTGCGGATCCTATGTCACAGCGAACCAATAATTGTTGCAAACTTCATCTATCCACGCCACGAACGAATCTATTCAAGTACTCACCCTTGCAACTGTCGACCGCTCTGTCGAACAAGCTGCCTGATGGCATAGTTATTCTAGCAAATACGGACGATTTCAAAGATGCGCTGAAAGCGCACGACCTGTGTGCCAGTTGTTGAATTGTGTTGCATTTAAGCTCAGAAATGGGCGATTTAAGGGTAATAAAATGAAATAAAATGAAATTCTAAAACACTACTAAAGGATCTGACAAAGGCGTTCTTGATTTCTGTTTCTAGTACAGTTCCGTTTCTTTTTCTGAATACCGGACGATCGCTGTCTTAGGCACATACGTTGCGGTAGACAATGACTTTATGTTGCACGTTACCGATGTGTTCTGTTGGGACGTGTGCGTTGTAATTTTATTATAGAAGACCGAGTGCCAACTGCCTGAGTTGCGTTTCTTGTTAGTTGTGGTTAGTGGGTTAGTTAGATTAGCGAGGTTACAAGATTTACACACACAGAAATTACATCTACAGACACAACCAAGAGTACAAAACACACACACGACGAAAAAAAAAAATCGTGTGTAGCGCGAAATCTCAAAATCACACAAGCGCTGAAAAAAAAAAAAAAAAAAAAAAAAAAAAACAACAACAACAACCAGCACAGGAATTCCGCGTTTTTGCGACGGGACAGGCGGCTATTCGCCTCGAGCCCAGATTGAATTTAGGGGAAGCGTGCCACTTGTTTACCCAGGCTTCTCTATGAGGCGCGTGGTGATTACCTCTGTCCACAATGCTGGAGGACACAAAACATCCACACTAACGGCACAGAGCCTGGGCAAGGGTACAGACCACGAGCTCTTAGCAGTTGATTCCAGTGCGCGAGCGCTGCCTTGCAGCCTCCATGGCTTCAGCCTCACGTGCGTAGCATTCGTTTTGCTCCAAGTGAGTGTAAAACCAAGCATAGTTCTGCTTTTCACCACATAAGCCGTGCCGATCGAATCTCGAGACGATGTCTATTTTATCGAGGCACATTAGGCAGCTATCCACCAGCGTGCTCCAGTGCGGTAGTAATATCGTCACTTTGTCAGGGCCGTAACCAGGGGGGGATAGGGGGTTCTGACCCCCCCGAAATTTTTTTCTGGGTACGGCCCTGGTCGATGCACTTGCAGCCAGCCGATTTTAATCTCCACCTCTGCGCACGCGCAGTGGCGCCGGTCGGCTACCGGGTACCAAAGCGGGACCGGTTCTCCAGTTTGCTGCAACTCTCCATTATATGCCGCCGATGCACATGATTCATAGGCGAAAATAAGACAATAGACACTTTCAAAATGTCCGCCGTTGTCCCCGAAACCCCCCCCCCCCCCCCCCCCCCCCCCCCCGAAATTTTTTTTTCTGGGTACGGCCCTGCACTTTGTGAAATAATTATTTAATTCTTTTCCTCTAGAGAACGCGAAAGGTTCTTTTTCGGCTCGAGCTCTTAGCTTTAGCCCGATGACACATTTTTATTTACGTTTTTTTCTTTTTCTGATCACGCGCTGTCGTGATCATGTAGTACAAAGGGTAGAACGTCCCGAAAAAGCAAAACATTGAGGCGTCCTAATTTAATTTTGACAACACCCGCAAAAAAAAAAAAAAAAAAGAGTTATTTTGCAAGAAGTGTGCGATTCTCGGTTGGCCATCTTAAAAAGGACCGAATGCAAAACATTCAACAGGTAATTAATAAAAATCCCACGAGGCTAACTCTGCTATGTATCTTATGTCTCGGAATATCGTTCAGGGTAATAACACAATTGTTGGCTTAGATTTTTATCACCGGTCTTCAAGCAAGCGACTCCACAGGAAATCCGAGCGCGTGTTTCCAAACCGGTGCTTTTTGCTACATCATATCCCATTCAGATTTATATGAAATGAATGATTATTTTCCTCGGACCCTGCCACTTTTCGGCACTAAATCAGAGGGTGACACACTATTCATCCCTTAAAGAGTGCCACGTTTCGCACATTCACGCAAGAGATCGCTAGAGAAATACCGGCTGGCGCTCGGGGGCAACTTTCTCTGGCATATCCAAATAATTGAAGACAACGCGAGCACAGCTGTGATCGGCCCGCAATGTTCGCAAGCGCACGGATACAGGTAACTTTGGCTTCATTGCCAAGAAAAGTTGTCTGGAAGTATGCTAACCTTTCGGGCGCGGGTGGTATTATCACATTGTAATAGAATCTTTAAAAAAAAGCTAAAAAAAATCTTTAAAAAAAAAAACGAGTTAGACGTGAGTTTTAGAGTATTTTTATAATGTGAATCTCAGGTTCGTTTTAGACAAATATGGACCTAAACGCGAGAAAACACGAAAAACCTTCGAGCCGTCGCTACGTCATAAAATGATCTTACGGCCGCAAAGTGCGTGTCGCTTGTGCGGGCAGCGAGTGCAATTGCAAGCTTGCCAGGTATATTCCCTCGCACAGACACCTGTCGCGACGTATATTTTTTACCTTTTTCGAAATAACAGGAGTGCGCGTGCATAGCTTTGATAGGCACTGAATATGCGCGAGTGCGGAGATTCCGAAAATTCGATATGGCGTAAAGCTCCGGGAAGGAGGTGCTTCAACGGTACTTTGAAAATTAATTTCTGCAGCCTCCGTGCAACAAATTGAAGACAAAAATGATGTCGATATTCATGATCCTGGAGGTCAACTGAAAACGATTTAAGTATTTTTTACTCAAATACAGAACCGCTTCAGCTTCCCTTTAAATAAATGTTTCACACAGTAAATGCAAAAGGTTTTCTGTCGACGGATTTCACCCAGTGCAACCCCCACATCCGATATGAATGATTGAATATGGACTTTAATCGCCGTTGGTGTGAATTTCGAAGCGCTGCCCAAAGTACTGCAAATATTATAAAATTTTAGCAGTCAGCACGCCAGAGCTTTGTGTTGCTAGCGGGACCTCGTGTCGTCACTTTGAAGCATGGATTTGAGCACGCGCCCGTTATGGCCCGCCATCCGCAACGTACGGTCGACCAAAGCTCCATGACCGCGTGAAGCAAACCGTATTGCTCTCCGACTCTTTATCGCGGATACTAAGGGGGGTATTTATGAGACGCCATCTTTTTGGTCGCTGTTCATAGCGCGTGCTCAGAACTAGCTCCCAGTTACCTTCTGCCAAGAACAAATACCTTGATAGGAAGGGGTGCACGAGTGTGCACGTGTAGTGTGCGTTCCACCCAATCAGGATCCTTGTACCTGGCTGGCGATAAGTCGAAGCTAGTTTTGAGCATGCGCCGCCAAGAACGAAAAACAGTGTTAGCGGAGAGATGTTTCGGTGGCGCCCTCGTTTGGTTACCTTTCGTGACGTCATTACCTTGTGAACAACAAGTTCTATGGTGTT